CCGTTGTGTGGTTTCTCCAGGGTCTTCACATCTCTTTGCAAACTTTGCTTCCTCTGTTCATGTTTGCTAAGCCTTTACCAGGTCAACAGTCCATGAAAGACACTGCCTCCCCAAGCACTTGTAGTCTTCATTTTACATCTCTTTGTGTGTTTGGTTTTGTTTATCTCTTTTTGTAATTAACATTGACCTCTCAACCAAACCATAAGCATAAGATGGCAGGGACTTCTCTGCAACCTCTAGCACCATGCCAGTCACACAGCAGGTGCTTAATGGCATAGTTAATGAATGAATGGAGCAGCCTGTTGATTTTACTCATCTTGATCCACTTCAGATTCATTTTACTGAAGAACTAACCGTGGCTTTCAAAGTCTCTGATAATGAATGCCACTCTGCAGTTTCAACTCACTAAGTAGGAAAGGGATCACCTAAGGCACTGCTGAAATGAGAAGGAAAGGCAGTGACTCCCATCACCCTTTGCTTTTTATCCCTAATGCTTAAGGAAAAGAGGGGCAGTCTAACACCAGTGGTTCCTGTGAGTGTGTCATAGGTCATACTGGTGCTTTTCATGTTAGGGCCATTTCCAGAACTGGTTATAGTGATTTTATTTGATAAAATAAGAATTGAATACCATCTCTAAATGAACCTTCAAACTTCTAGTTGCTTCAATGGTGCCACCATTTTATTTTTAAAGTACAAAAAAACATTATTCTATGGTTAGGTAGTAGGCTAGTAAATATTATAAATTTTTAATTTTAGTAGAATTTTTATAGTCAGTTTAAATTGTTTTTTGAAGGGAAATGCCTGGTATCTCATCAATTCTGGGACCATTCAACCAATTTAGACTGTGGTGGAGATAGGAGTAGAGGGTATCATGGGTGTTTTGTAACATTAATGTTTGATTAGGAGTACCATGAGTGATAAGGTAACTTTATGAAGTGGAAGATTACCTTGACTCACTTAGAAGGAAGCTGGAAAAATCAGTAAATGCTTATCGATAATTTATGTGTGCACATGCATTTGGTGCTAGGCATCTAACCCAAGACCTTGGGCCTTGTGTATCATATATTTTCTACAAATTAATAGAATCACCTGTGAGGACACTGGATCCCTTGAAAACTTACTTTCTTTAAAAAAAAAAAAAAAAAAAAAAAAGAAGAAGAAAGAAAAGGAAAGGTATGGAAAGGAAATCTTCTGGCCTGGCATGGGGCCTGGTAGCTCATACTTAAAATCCTAGGTACTTGAGAAGGAGAGGAAGAAGAATCTTGAGTTTGAGATTAGCTGAAGCAGTGGTTAGTGAGAGGATGGCTCCAGAACAAAAGGGCTAGCTATGTGTGGTGGCTCACATCTGTAATACTAGCTACTTAGATGGTTGAGATCTGAGGATAGTGGTTCAAAACCAGCCCAGGCAGGAAAGAATGTGAGACTCTTAACTCTAACCAGCAAAAAGCTGAAAATTGAGCAATGACTCAGATAGTAGAAAGCCAATCTTGAGTAAAAAAGCTAATGGAGAATGCTATTCCACTGTTGGTGGGAGTATAAACTTGTTCAACCACTCTAGAAAGTAGTATGAAGATTCCTCAAAAGACTAAATATAGAGCTCCCCTATGACCCAACAATCCCGCTCCTGGGCATTATTCAAATGACCCCAAACAAGGCCACACTAAAGCTACCAGCACAACCATGTTCATTGCAGAATTATTTACTATAGCTAAGATATGAAACCAACACAGATGTCCCTCAGTAGATGAATGGACACACACACACACACACACACACACACACACAATGGAGTTCTATACTTCCATTAGAAAGAATGGCATTGCCCTATTTATAAGGAAATGAACAGATCTGGAAAAAATTATATTAAGCAAAGCAAGCCAGGCCCAAAGAAATAATAGGTTTCATGGTTTCCCTCATTTGTAATAACTAAAAGATGTCTATGCTATTCTTAGCAGGGGATCACAATAGCCCAATCCCTAAGTGCATAGGACCATATAATGAAGGGTGTCAACATGAACTCTAAGAATTGGAAAAGAGATTCTTATTATGTCCTATAATCAGTTTTTTTCTATTTTTCTTTCTATTTTGGTTTGTTGTACCCTTTGTCTTGTTGTATATAAGCTTATCTGATCCATGGAAGGTAAGAGGAATCACAGAAACCTCAGGACAAAGGATAAACTAATGCAACAATGATACTCAGTACACACTATGTTGGAAATGAACTTTACAACTTGGTGGGGAGGGGAATTGGGGTGTGGTAAGTGGGAGGAAGAGGGTAACAGTGTTTACTCTTTACCTTATGTAACTGTAACCCCCTCTTCATCACCTTTACAATCAATTTTTTTTTATTTAAAAGTTGATGGACAGTGCCCGGGGCTCTGAGTTCAAGTCCCAGTACCAGCACATGCGCGCACACACACAAACACACACACACACACACACACGATTGAGGCCTAGTTGAGTGGTAGAATGATTGCTTATCTTATATGAAGGCTTGAGTTTAATTTCCAATAGTACAAAAAAATTCTTAAGAAGGATTCACTGTAGCAAGAATATTTTTGGGCAAGGAACTTATTGTGGCAAGGAAAATATATAGCCCTGCCTAGATGCCTATGGCTCATGCCTACAATCCTAACTACTCAGAAGCCTGAGATTTGAAGGATCAGGATTTGAAGCTAACCCAAACAGAATTGCTCATAAGACTTCAGCTTCAAAATAACCAGTTAAAAGCAGGGCTGTTGACATGACTCAAGTGGGCAGAGCACCAGCCAATCAAGACCATTGAACAAATAAGAGGCCCTAAATTTAAACCCCAGTACCAGAAGAGAGCAGAAGAGGAAGGAAGAGAGAAGGGGAAAGGGAGATAGAGAGAAACAGACAGGCAGTGAGAGAAGAAAACACCTGACTCTTGCCAGGATGGATCTCTAGCTGGCACAGGATAGGGCAATCTCATTGGTATCCACAGAACAAATCCTGACAAGGCAGCACGCACAGTAGCTGCTCAGAGGGAAATAAAACACAGAAAATAAAACACAGCAAGTTCTGAAGGCTACGATGCTTACACTGGTCCTCTCTTCTTGCTTAAACAATCACATTTGCTACTATCACAATGGTAGCAGATTAAAGCTCTAAGTAAACCTGGAAATTAGCTAGTCCAATTCGCAGAGATTTGAAAGGTAACAAGAAAAAAAATAAAACACCGAAGAGTCAAAAAATGTAAAATTCCCTTCCAGTGTATTTCTATATTTATGGTTGAATATAAGTATGGAGCCAGATAGCATTTCAGGCCACACAAGAATTACTGATGTGAAGACTAGAGGGAAGATTACAGCACACTAGCCATACATGCTAAATATGCGTGTTTGCATCAGCTCTCAGAGACAGTCAGGCAGTAGGAGCGCTCCTGGACATGCAGCCTTAGCCCATCTCCCTTTGCACGGTGATAAACAAAGCATTTGCAAGTGGGAGTAAGCTGTTGGGGCTGGTGGAGGCTCCAAAATGCCTTCTGTGAGGCACAGATTGTCCCAGGAAACGAAAAGCCAACCTGACAGAGTGAAGGATGTTGGCATAGAACATGCATTTTTCTTAATTTTGTTAATTAAACCTCAAAAGGAAAATCTTCTAGGAATAAATCAACTGTAGATAAGAACAACTTTTAGATTCAGATACAGTTCTTGCTGGCTTGCTAGGTCATGTGTTCCTCTGCACACCCCTATTTCATGGCCATTTCTAGGCCCTTCATGTTCTGTATTTATGAAATGTAATTTCTGCAGGGAGAGAGATCATCCTGACTGGAAAGGGGTTGGGTAAAGAGGATAGCACTGAAGGTGGAAAATACACAGTAATCTTTCTAGCAAATGCAGTCCCTTAAGAGTAGACTCTGTCTAGAGCCTACTTTGCTGATCTTCCCAGAAAGTGACAGTTCCTGGAACAGGAGATGTAGTCCACTTGCTCGGAGCAGCCCCTGGAGGAAAGATGTAGTGTCTTGGTCTCCCTCCAGAGCCCTAGGCATTCACCAAGCAGCTTTCAAACAGGGACAAACCAGCACCCACAGCATCTTTGTTCAACATAGAAGAATGTCTGCGCTGAGCTGTAGTCCTGAGTTCAACCTCTGTATGGATGAAAGAACACTTAACTTCTCTTTCTCTACCTTTGGTAAACAAGCAACAAATGCAATCCTCATGGCAGATCATGAGACCCTTTCCTTTTTGACAGGTGAGAAAAAGCATAAAATACCTTGTTACTCACTCCAGGGCCATTTGATGGCTGAGAGTCCTTCATGCAATTGATAAAGCCAGCACAAGCTCTCCCATTGTGGGTGGAGAAGTCCTCCTTACCAGCTCATGGTGTTGAGATGACTGAGGACAGTTTCTCGCTGGTGTCTTATGTTCAACTCTAAATGCCAGATTATGTGCCAGGGCTCCTCCTCTCAGTTCCTTTTCCAACCTTCCAGCACCAGGGACTTGCCCATCCATCCAACATCTCCCTGGTCCTCACTCCACAAAGAGACACATACACTCACCCAACATCGAATGCTTCAAGCAATTCTAGACCTCAAGTAGAGTAATTTGCTTCTTTCCTGTTTGTTGTGCTTAACTTTTATTTCTGTCTTTTGCTTTTCTTTCCTATAGAAAAAGCTCCCTTTGAAGAGATCTCCTGTAGCAGATGTAGATACACACACACACACACACACACACACACACACACACACACACACACACACACACACACACACACACACACACCCCTGATTTGAGCAATATCACAATATTGTATCATTAACAGAATTAGTCTTATATACCCAAACACAGGAAGTCTATAATCCCCCCCACCCCTAATAAAATAGATGTATGAATTTGTAGCTTTGTAACTGTGCTTTGGAGAGAAGATTACTTATGAAAGAGTTCTGAAGCTCTGTAGATGAATTTGTTTCTTCTCCATTGCCTGTCAAGTGCTTAACAAGTGAATATAATTTAACACCGTTTTCACTCTTTCTGCAGCACCTGAAATTCTCCGAGGCTGCGCCTATGGACCAGAAGTGGACATGTGGTCTGTAGGAATAATTACCTACATCCTGTAAGTGAAGAGAAAAGAGTGCTTTCATGTCACATAACATTTTCTAAGAACCAATAGTTCTCATAAGAACCAAGGAGTTTAACTTTGTGGTCTTTTTATTTTTATTTTTTATGCTAGTATTGAGGCTACACAGGGGCCCTGTCGCTCTTGCTTGGCTTTTTCACTCAAGGCTGGCACTCTACCACTTGAGCCTCTGCTCCACTGTGGCTTTTTGCTGGTTTATTGGAAATAAAACTCTCATGGACTTCCTCTATCCAGCCTAGCTTCAAACTGTCATCTTCAGATCTCAGCCTCCTGAGTAGCTATGATTACAAGAATGAGTGCCAGAGTGTAATTGTGGAGGTGGGAGAGAAGGGATGGTAAGGGAAAAACAAATGAGGAGGCAACAATGCTTGATAGGAAATGCACTCATTACCTTGCTCATGTAACTGTCACCTCACTGTACAATGTTTTTACAATAAAAAACATTTTAAAAAAGAAAAGAAAAAGAATGAGTGCCAGGCTGGGATTTTTTTTAAATTCATGATTAATGTAGTTAATGACAGAATTTTCTCAAGACAAATATTGCTTATTATTCTGTAATTTTCTTGGGACTACCACTTCTGTACAGGGCTTTACTGTTTCCACTTTGCTGTATAGTGTACATCAGATATGAGAAACCATTCAATGGTCAGTGACCATGATGAATGTACAAATCTATTACATGCTTTTCTTGTTTTGTTTGTTTGCATTTTCTCTAGGATAGACTTAGTCCTTTTAAGAAAGCAAATGCAAACTGGCTCATTTCTTCTCAGAATATTTCAAGTGCATTTGGTTTTCAATTTTGTTTTCTTCCTGTTATGTTTTTGAGGACCCTTTTTATCCTCAGAGGGGGAAAATGAGCTAAATATTTCACTATCTGGTATCTCCAAACACATTAATGAGCTACTGTCTAATAAAGCATAAGGAGTTTCAGGAAATTTGCCAAAAGGATGGTGGAATTGCAGGTAATGATGAGGGAAATCATAATACAAATGGAAGTGTCTGGAAATGAAGATTACTGTAGAAAAACTAAAGCACAAGATGTTAATGATTCTGAGAGTTTAATCCCAAACAAGCATATTGGTCTGTGATGTAGAAGGTAATGCAGAGTTACTTTGAGGAACCCATAGTACTCAAACCTATGAGGAAATGTTAGAGGGTGCCAAAGAAATTTTTAGTCTTATTCAAGTTACCATAACCTTATTATACATAAACTGGGTGGCTTAAGCAACAGATAGGGTTTTCTCTGAGGTATGAAGGCTGGAAGTGTGAGGGTAGTAATGTTCCTGCACACCATTTGGGGTTTCAAAGGAGACACAGAGACACTGCCTTCTTACTGTGTCTTCACAAGATGAGATGAGGTCCCTTCTCATAATGGTACTAACCCTATGATATGGGTCCCATTCTGATGATTTTATCTAAATCCAACTTCTTCCCCAAAGCCCACCCTTCCAAGGTGTAGCTTTTCCTGGATGGATCCAGATAAACCCTCTCCCAATGAGACATTCCCTAAACAAAGTCATTTTTGGACACACTGGAAGTTTTCATTCTCTCCAACTAGTCAGCCTGAGGGGAGAAAATTGGGAGAGCTCTTTTGACTTATTATCACTGGTCCACCCCGCCCCCTGCATTCTCTTCAAAGGCAACATTTGCAACATGTACCTGACAAGGACTTTTACTTCTTTTTTTCACAGTTCCCTTCTGGCCTCTAGAGATTTCGAAACATCCACATATTTCTAAATGGTTGATCCCAGACAAGCAACCCATTTTTTTCTCCTCTTTCTCTTTAAGATGCTAGAGAAGTTCTTGGCTCCTGTTCTCTGTTCTCTGTTCTCTTCTTCCATTTATTTCTATGTTGACCTTAAGTGGACAGTGGAGTGGGGGGAGATGTCTTTATGATATACAAAAGAGGGCTTCATGTCTAAAGATGAGGTAAATCTGGGCTGTTCATCTGTTGGCTGCATCTGGTCACTGAGTTAAGACTTTTATGACCATCTCCTGCCAATAGACAAAGCTTCTTAGTTCCATTTGAAATCCAAACAAGAAGGAAATAGCACATTTTAATCCATGCTGTTCCATTTTATATTAAGTTGGAACTCTAAGTAATCCTTTTTTGCAGTAAGATAAAGTGAATCACAGCCAATTTTATTACAATTCTTCAAAATTTATACTAAAGATGTTCATTGCTTCTAAAAATTATGTCATCCTTTAGATAACGATTTCTTATTTCATCTTTCTCTTATCCTTTTTAATTTTTTTTCTTTATGGTTCTTCAGTAGCAGACAGAATCTTTAGTTGTCCAGTTAGGATCTGCTGAGCTCCTATTATGATTGTTTTTTTTCAATATTTATAACCAATACTTGGCCTCTAAAAGAAGGGCTTTTGGTCTTTTCAATCACTTGTTGGTTGGGAGAGATGGCCTTGATACCAGTAACTACATGACCTCACTTAGAATCAATCTTATATCCAGTCTTGCATTTCTAATAAAATTCACAACCCAACATTTAATGGGGTTCAGTTTATCTGACAATGTAATAATGATGACATATGGGTAGATACAACTAAAAGCTTTGAATACGAACGACAGGCATTCTCAGTGCAATCCTCAAACCACTGAGAAGTCAGTCATTCACAAGAAATGACCCATATTTCCTTGGCTTTTTTAAACCCCATTAAAGACAAAGTTAACATACAAACATCAGCACATTCTGCAATTGAGTTTTATATGTGTAAGACTGATGTTAAATAACTTCCATTAGGTCTTTTAGCACCTGCCAGTGTTTCCAAACAGCATTGTTTGCTCTGACTGCAGTGGTCAAATAGTGGAGAATATGTGTGAATTGTAGTAAGGTGCTGGCTGGTAAAAGAAGAGACCAATAATATGAGTGTCGTATTTGGGATGATGGAAGAAAGCAGAGACTAATGGGTGAGTTGTTTCTGCTCCTCAAGAGACTGCAGTGGAGAACTCACAGGACAATTTATTATCTTGCTTAGTTGTGTACCATCTTCCACAGCTACATCACAACTCTGCACTAAATCTCAGAGGCCATGTTTCCCACAGAATGAACTTCAAGGATCTGTTGCTAGATCATTCTTATTGTATAATGATATTCCACTGCTTCTGCCTAATTCTATACTAATCACATACTTGTAAAATGTATCTAATATTCCTACCTAAACCATGCTTGCCTACAGATGAAACAGCATCTGACCATCCCTGGTTGATTGCATTTGGCTTATAGTCTCTGGATCTTCAGACATCTTCACAATTGGGTTTATTTCTGCTTGAAACGCACAGTTATACAACTGTGGGTGTTTTTTTCTCTCTCAGAGCCTGAGGAAAACCATCAGAAAAAAGTTGTTATATACATGCATAGCAAAGTCTACTGAATTGGTGTCCCTAAGAAGTTCTGATTTCCCTTTGTAATAATCTTTTCCACTATATATTTCCTTAATTGAGAGTAACCCAAGGTGTGAAAAGACTAGATATAGATACTGTTTTTTTTCAACTGTGTGATAAAAGTAGTCAAATTTTATTCCACCCATCTAACATAAAAAGACTCTAACTTCTACTCATGAAAAATATCTCTGGAAGACCCTTAACGTGATGCCTATATTGTTAGCTATTGTAAATGGTGTTTTTCATGTCATTATATTATTACTATTATTATTATTATTATTATTGCTTTAGAAATCCACTGTTCTTACTTCTTGGGGATATGATTTGTCTAGGCCCTACCTGTTGTGAATTATAACAAATATGCAATTGTATACAGGTGCTGAGGAGACACTTTCATGGCTGAAAATTGTGCAAAAGGGACTCTTGAATTTCTGCAGAAATTTAATTACATAAACTTAGTCTTTAAAGATCCTTTCCTCCCTCTATGTTTTCCCTCTAGACTTTGTGGATTTGAACCATTTTATGATGAAAGAGGTGATCAGTTCATGTTCCGGAGAATTCTGAATTGTGAATATTACTTTATCTCCCCGTGGTGGGATGAAGTATCTCTAAACGCCAAGGACTTGGTAAGCGTGACCAAAACACAAGGAAAAGAATTCATTTTATCTAATGATTGAGAAAGCCTTTTTAGAAGCATGTCATCATTAATCCTGCATTATAATTTTAAGATATTTTAAATAAAAATTACTGCATTTTTCTTGAGAATGAAAAATACGTATTTTTATTCATCAGTATTTATATTCTTACAACTTACACTTATTGTGATATTAATGAGTTTCTCTTCTTGATATAAATACAGATAGAGCCTTGCTTAGGAAAAACATAGTGAAAACTAAGTCAATTTAACCATCCTATATATAGAATTTGTCTGATTACTTGCCTTGATGTAGACATATTTCAAGTAAATTTCATTCAGTTCTTGAAATGTCACTCAAACTTATTAAATTATCTTGACAATAACACAAGTCCCATATGTCTCATATGTAATCTGTCTCAAAAAAGTTCCACTGTATTGATGCATTTTCTTTTTGTGTTGTATTGCTTCTCACTTAAACTAATAGTGAAGCTTACCTGTACTCAAGAAAAAATGTGCTTCTAAAAAAGAGGACAGGAAGTTTATATGTAACTTAAATTGTCAACGCCTATCCTAAAAACTTAAGAAGAGTGCCAGGGACCAGTGGCTCATGCCTGTAATTCTACTATTCAGGAGTCTAAGATCTGAGGATCATGGTTCAAAGCCAGCCAGGGCAGGAAAGTCCGTGAGACTCTTATCTCCAATTAACCACCAGAAAACTGGACCTGTCACTGTAGCTCAAGTGGTAGAGCGCTCTCGCCTTGAGCTGAAGCACCCAGAGTTCAAACCCATGACCAACAACAACAACAACAAATTAAGAAGAGTGAGGGCTGGGCTCCAAGGGGTGAGTGACAGTGTTGAAAGGGGTGACATTAATCAAGATGTACTGTATTCTTTTTTTGGGGGGGGTCCGGTCATGGGGCCTGAACTCTGGGCCTGGGCGTTGTCTCTCAGCTCTTCAGCTCAAGGCTAGCGCTCTACCACTTGAGCCACAGCGCCACTTCCGGCTTTTTTCTTTTTTGCTTATGTGGTGCTGAGAAATCAAACCCAGGGCCTCATGCATGCAAGGCAAGTGCTCTACCACTGAGCCACCTTCCCACCTTTCTCCTCATCGTTGGTAGTTAATTGGAGATAAGTTTCACATACCTTCTTGCCTGGCTAGGTGTTTTTTGTTTTGTTTTGTTTTTTGTCAGTTAGTCATGGGGCTTGAATTCTGGGCCTGGGCACTGTCCCTCAGCTCTTCAGCTCAAGGCTAGCGCTCTACCACTTGAGCCACAGCTCCGCTTCCGGCCTTTTTCTTTTTGCTTATGTGATGCTGAGGAATCGAACCCAGGGCCTCTGGCATGCAAGGCAAGCGCTCTACCACTGAGCCACCTTCCCAGCCCTGTATTGTATTCTTAAACAGCTTTGTTGTATGGCAAAAAAAAAAAAAAAGGGCAGACCAGGAATATTATAAAATTAGGTTTCCTTTCAGTCTTCAGGATTAAAGTAGAGCTTTTACCATCTCCATCCTGGAGTCCCTTCCTGAAAGGAAGAGAGGTGTGGTAGGGATCCAAAAGTCCTGGGACCTCACCCCCATAAGCCGTGTCACCTGCACAAGGGGCCAAAATTCACTTATCCTTAAAAATGGCCCTCAAGGACAACATGCACGGCCACTTCTAGGAAAGAATAAAGTGGAATACAGCTGTTAAAAAAAATTCACCTTTATCCTCTCTCAGCCTTTCCCACTTCTGGGCATTTACCCTAATGATCACAAACAAGGCCATACTAAAGCTACCAGCACAACTATGTTTATCGAAGCATTATTCACCATAGCTAGGATATGGAACCAACCCAGATGCTCCTCAGTAGATGAATGGATCAAGAAAATGTAGAACCTATAAACAATGGAATTTTATGCTTCTATCAGAAAGAATGACACTGCCCCATTTGTTAGGAAATGGAAAGACTTGGAAAAAATCATATTAAGTGAAGTTACCCAGTCTCAAAGAAATTTAGGTCCCATGGTTTCCCTTATTTGTAATAATTAGTATACGTATAGGCTTGTCTTATCAGATGAGCTGAAAAGCTCAAAAACATGTAAAATGACCATATAAGATGATGCTAAGTGAAATGAACCCCAAGATATGGACACAAGAAGTCTGCCTTTATTGTTATTGTTTTAAATGTACCATGTGATTTTATTTTTTGTTGTTGCTGTTTCCTTTGTATGTTCTTTCCCCTATGGCATATCCCCTATTGTCACTGCACTCAATTTTGATACCCTGCATCTTAAAAGATGTATATACATATGTCTAATCTGGGGAGGGGAAGGGGAATAACAAAACAGTGAAACAAGGACACAGGATGACCCATTGCAACAAAGATACCCATAGGACAGTACATTGGAAACAAACTTTGCAACTTCAGGTGGCAGAGGGGGTGGGGATAGGAGTGTGGGAGGTAGGGAGGGAAGGGATACTGGGCAACAACAAGGAAGGAAGGGGTAACAATGATTGACAAGTAATGTACTCATTGCCTTACTTACATAACTGTAACCCCTCTGTACAACATATTAACAATAAAATTTTTAAAAATTCACTGCCAATCCTATAGTGAAAAACTACATAGAAAAAAAAAAACAAAAGCTAACTTTTTGGAATCATCAGAGAGATCTTAAGAGTCATCTAGCCCTCCTCTCATTTTAAAGATGGGCATAAGGACCAGCTAGATGAAATGACAGACCAAGGCCACACATTGCGAGAATTCACTTAGGTTTTCACACCCCCAGGACTCTTTTCCCTCCAAATATCTCTGCTTTTCCATCAGTGTGCTTCCACGGAACAGATCTCTCAAGGCCCATGGTTTTTCCAATGTGACTGAGAATACATGTGATGTATAGCTATGTCACTCCACACTTCTGAGCATGCTCCAGCCCATCCCCTCCTCTCCTCCACCACTGCCACCGTCAATCCCACTGTCTTCTCTCACCTGCACCACTGCCATCCCCTGTGACCCTCCTACCACTTCTTGTGCCTTTCTCAGTCACACTCCACACAAGATCCAGAGGTCTCTTCCTCCTACTAATCCAGAAGCTTCAGCCCAAATACATGCTTCTTTGCAGAGGTGTCAGAAAAGAAGTGAAAGGAGAACCAGACACTATTTTTTTTTCTTATTTAACTTGTTGCATCATTTTTTTTTAACTTCTTGGGTTATTGGAATTAGAAAAGGTGTGTGTGTGTGTGTGTGTGTGTGTGTGTGTGTGTGTGTGTGTGTGTGTGTGTGTGTGTGCGTGTGTGTGTGTGTACATGCCAGTTCTGGGGCTTTCACTAGGGTCCTGAGTGCTGTTCATGAGCTTTTGTGCTCAAGGCTAGTGCTCTACCTCTTGAGCCACAGCTTCACTTTCAGTTTTTTGGTGGATAATTGGAGATAAGTGCCTCATGGAGTTTTCTGCTCTGACTGTCTTTAAACCACAATCCTCAGCCTCCTAAGTAGTTGATACGAACCATTGTCACCCAAAGCCCTTTATCAGAATGAAGTCCAGAGAGGTTGCTCACCTTGCAACATTATTTGCAGCAGCCACACGATGAGCTTTAGCATGGTGTGGAACAGAGTTTGAATTCAAACTCCAATTATAAATTGTCTGAACCTGGGCGAAACTATTCTTTGAACTTCTGTCCATCTCTCATTTGTGAATTGGAGCTCAAATTCAAAGATTACCAATATGGATTTTAGTGATGTTTTGTACACATATAAGAATGTATTTACAGAGAAATTAGATTTAACCAGAGCTTGTACATCCTTGATTACAAATAGTCTCTCCTTCAAATTGGGTCACACCCTCTGTAGCTGAGAGCAGGAAATTATGTCATTTGTTGGTCTTCCTAGAAATCTGTTGTCTGTTCATCTACACAAGCAGAAGTAATCCTTACAGAATGGGATACCTTTGTTTAGATTCAGTCATTTAAGCAAATCATACTCCCAAGCCAATGACTTCTTTACTTTGATGTTAAAATGTCTTTTACTCTAGTTCTGGGATTATTCCTTTAAATATCCTCAAAGAGAGAAAGAACTCTAAGCCCCAAGAGAATGGTAAGATATTATTCCACAAGGACAAGGATTTGTTTCCCAGAGAAAGAACAATGGTCCGTGAGTGACTGTTACCTTGAGGTATAGTTTAAGAGCTGAATTCTAGGTGATTGCAAAGCACAATCTAGAATTATCTAGATGTTGGTTCTGCCTTCAAGGAGTGTTCTCTCTAAGGGAAAGTCAAGGCCTGCTTTAACCTCTGTTCGACAGAAGTCTGGTAGTTTAGGGTCAGACATAGTATACGCCACCATCTTCCTGCTCTCCCTCTACTGCTGCTACCTGAAGCCAGTCCTACTCCTAGTGACCCCTGAGGAATTAAATACTTACTTAAACAGATTACATATATGCATATATATCTATATGTATATACTTAGTGCTACTGCTAGGAAAATAGAACATGACCTAGAAGTTCATAAGCTGAGGGCAAGTCCAGGTCACAATCAAAGGTTCCCTAAGTCTATCTTTCTTTCTATTATCAGGTCAAAAAATTAATTGTTTTGGATCCTAAGAAACGGTTGAATACATTTCAAGCCCTCCAGCATCCATGGGTCACAGGTAAAGCAGCCAACTTTGTACACATGGATACTGCTCAAAAGAAGCTCCAAGAATTCAATGCTCGGCGCAAGCTGAAGGTAAAACAACATAGTTTGTTTTGTTTCTTTTTTTCATTTCAAGACATATTTATTTGCAAAAATTGCCACTGGTTAATCAATCCATTAATAATTATCAATTCAGGAATGATGTCCTAAACATGGACTATGGGATACTTTATTGTATACAATTATGAAAACGTCATTTATAAGCCTATTGTTTTGTACAGTTAGTTAATGAAAGGAATTATTTTGGTTCTTAAAAAGAAGAGTTTTCTCTAGGCATTCACATACAATGAAACCAAAGGAGGATACTCTTAGGAAGGAACACAAGGCACAATGCCTATGTATATCTGATCATATAAAATTATATTTATTGAAAATATAAAATAAAATAATATTCATCCAAGCTGAAGGTAAAATAACATGGTTTGTTTTGTTTCTTTTCTTTCTTCTTCTTTTTTTTTTTTTTGTCAGTCATGAGGCCTGAACTCTGGGCCTGGGCGCTGTCCCTCAGCTCTTCAGCTCAAGGTTAGCACTCTACCACGTGAGCCACAGTGCCACTTCCAGCTTTTTTCTGCTTATGTGGTACTGAGGAACCGAACCCAGGGTCTCATGCATGCAAGCACTATACCACTGAGCCACCTTCCCAGCCCTGTTTCTTTTTTTTTCTATTATTCATCCAAAGGAACTCCAGGAAATGGAAACAAACAAACTATAAGAGGGTTTGTTGTTGTTGTTGTTGTTGTTCCTTTAGTACTAGTATTCATTTCTCTTGGCACTAGGAAAAAAAATCCTAGTTTGAAATCCCAACAGTGCTGACATAGAACCACTGCTTTTCTCTCATGAGTTCTCTCTCTGTTAGTAACAATAATAATATTGTTTGTTGAAATTTATTTACCAAATGGATGATTGCTGGTGCTCATCTAACTAAGGCATTGATCAGAAAACTTAACATTTACCCAGAAATATACTTTATTTTTGAATGAGTGAAAATTGACAATCTTGGAATCTGTATTTTATAAGTAATTTCTATAGTTGGCAAACATTCAAGTTAAGTAACACAGAAAATATTTAACAGGGTCTGGGAAGGTGGCTCAGTGGCTTGCCTTGCATGCATGAGGCCTGGGTTCAATTCCTTAGCACCACATAAGCAGAAAAAGCCAGAAGTGGTGCTGTGGCTTAAGTGGTGGAGCACTAGCCTTGAGCTGAAGAGCTGAGGGACAGCACCCAGGCCCAGAGTTCAGGTCCCACTACTGCCAAAAAAAAATGAAAATAGTTAACGAAGTATATCTGTTTTGTAGAATATATATGAAATAGAGATTCCACACATTTCTGTGATATAGTGATATTTAGTCTAGCAATAAAAACAGAGTATCCCAGAGAATAACTAAGAGTCAGAATTAAGCTCTTACTCAGTTATTTTTCACAGGCTAATATAGATTAAATAACTCTGAAGGGATCTATAATCAAATAAATTTGAAATACCTTAGACAGAGTAACATTGACTTAAGCCAGGATTTCATAAGCTAACTAACTTAACTATGGAACTCTTCTGTCCCCATAATACCAACTAACATCATAGAACCAGTGTTCCATAAAACAAATACTAGGGAAATAGTCTAAAACTTTAGACTAGTCATCCATGGGGAAACACATTTTGTGATTTGAGATGTCCAGATGGTTTTGAGATTGAAATATTATGATTGCTGATTCTCCAAACAAGTTCCTTCCCAAGACATGAACCTCACAGACACAAGCCATATGAACAAGTTAAGGATTGAACTCTGAGTTGGATTTTTTTTGCCCCCCCAACTAGGCTGCAGTGAAAGCCGTAGTGGCCTCTTCCAGGTTGGGAAGTGCCAGTAGCAGCCATAGCAGTATCCAGGAGAGCCAAAAGGTAAGCCAAGAAACATCTCCAAATCAAGATGACAAGGACATCAACACTCCTCCTCAAGATGAAAAAATTCAAAAAGATGGAGCCCCAAAGGCAGCTGAAGGTGAAGAGGCAGAGCACAAGAAGGTACAGTCCTTGAAGAAGGTGAAAGATGCAGATATAGATGCTGTTGCTGCCTCCAGCATGGTACCCAAAGCATGGGAAGATGGGATAAAGATGGCTGACCCCGGAACAGAATATGACACAGAAACAGAGAACGAGCCAGAAACAGAGGTCGACTCAGAAGAGGAAGAACCGAAGACTATGACGGAAACCTTCGACGAAGATCAGGAAGACCCTGACGTGGAACTCGGAGTGCCACAGCCAGATGAGATCCTGCCAGAGTACTAAGCTGGCCTCCTTCAGATCTAGAGGCCAAACCTTGGCATTTTATTTACTTTGTCCTTCAGCAAGGAAGGTGTGGAAGCATGACATGCACTGTAGTGATTCTGTTTTTGAGGTGCAAAAAAAAAATCATATATACCAGTTGGTAATCCTAACTAAAATGCATGTGACTGCTTTATAAAAGTATTAGTGTTTTCTATGGCATGTAATGGATACCTTATACTGATGAATTAATTGATGTTGCAAGTAAACACAACACTTAGAAACACATTTTCAGCACCGGTGACACATATTTGAAGGGAACAGTAGCAAATTGATTTTTCCTTGAAAAATCTATCTGTTTCATATCCGTTGGCTTTCTACAAAGGCAGTAGTAATTCCTGTGAATGACTGCACAGGTATTATTACCAGCTGTAAGGCAGGTTTTTGTGACTTTCCCAACATTTACTTTTCATCATTAATGAGTTCAACTGTTTTAAAGGATCTTATTTTAGGGGATGCTTGTACAGTATGTACAAAAATTTCCCTTTGCAATGGTAAGAAATTGAAGCATTCTTATAAGAGGCAAGGATCCATAAACTCCTAAAGCTCTTTTGGACCAAGTATTTTTACATTATTTTCACATATGCTATGTAATAATAGGCAAAATGTTCTATTATAAAACCTGCCATTTTACAATCCTGGAGAAAGGATTTTTTTAACTCATTTTGAGTTTTCTTTTTCCTTCACCTGCTCTTTCCAATAAGATGGCTTCCAGATGGATAGAGCTAAGGTGAGGATAAAGAAATGTAGAGTAACAAATAAGGTAAAACTGAGACCTAGATATATAAAGATACAATTGTGTTCATAAATTTATACAAACTTATGGATAAGAACTTTTTATGGGCAAAACTGTGTAATTAACAAGTTTCAAATATTTAGAAATATCAATTCCACAGATTGGTGCCAAAAATCTTTGGAAAGAATGAGGACAGCACATTGCATTTCACATAATTCATTATACATGGTACACAATAGTTACCTCCCCTTTCAAATGATGGTTACCTGGGTTTATGAACTTAAATATAAAAAGTACAGTTTTTTTTTCTCAGATTTGAATTGAAATTGCCCACACTTTGCAAAGTTCTGAAATTTTCCATGGCAGAAACTTTAGCGTAATGTAAAAATTTTACCTTAACAATAAACAATAACAAAACTAAAGAAAATACTCATTTCAAATAAGATTCACAAGATGCTAGAACAGATTTCATCGTACTATTTCCTCTCTTCTTTCTTTGACTTTCATGGAAAAACTTCCCTCATCACAATTTCATGAATTTCAAATATCTCAAATTTCTAGCTGAGTCAAAATGAATATTTTATCAAGAATAATGATCATATTTTGGTGATCATTACTTTGGTGTGTTTTCTTAATTTTAAAGGATTATTTTCCAAGTCCAAAATGGAGACAATAAAGCTGATAAGCAAATAATCTTCCTAGATAGTAAATTTTACATTATTCAGGTTCCTCCTAACGTTGTTGTTGGAAAGTAAAGCTAAACCTCTGCCTTCTGGAGGCTACCGGATCTCAGTACACATTCTGCCTGTCTTTTGAAGAGAAAAGGTAAGGCTTCTTATATTCCATAGAGATCTGGTAGTTTTCTGATACCAAGAGAAAGATCCTGATGAAGTAAATCACCTAACCTCAGGTAACTATTTTGGTTTTATTTTTCTTTATTAATTGCTAGTGTGTGCCCTTTTCTTCCCTTTTACCTTCTTTTAACTTTTTTGGACTTCTTTTCAGTGTTATATGTAAAGGGATTAATACTTACTTTTCAGCCTTAAAGAATAATTTCACTAGGCACCACTGGTTCACAACTATAATCCTAACTACTTAGGAGGCTGAGATCTGAGAATCACAGTTCAAATACAGCCTGGGTAGAAAAGTCCATGAGATGCTCATCTCACATTAACACCCAAAAGACAGAAGTGGAGTTGTGACTCAAGTGGTAGCATGCTGTCCTTGAGCACAAAAGCTCAGGGATAGACTACAGGCCCTGAGGTCAAGCCCCAAGACTGGAACCAAAGGGCAGGGGAAAGGAAAAGAATAACTTCATTAAGCATTAAGCTTTCCATTTAAGAAGAAGAAAAGTTTTCTAGTATAATTTTTCCCATGAGATTTAAAAGGTATACATGGTAAGTGTCTCATACATAAGAAGAGCAAAGAAGAGAGAGAAAGGGATATTGTTAGAAGACGCCAATTCATTAGGAGGTAAGAATACATCACCACTACCAGCTCACCTAGTACTGTTCCAAGTGCAGATGTGTTAACATTCCAACCTGGGCGGACTGATTGATTGGCCCCGTGGACAACAGAAATGGCCCTGCAAAGGCCAGAGCCAGTACACATTTTATTACTCACTTAGGTGCTGGGAGGTTGGCTCAGTGGCAGAGTGCTTGCCTCACATGCATGAGGCCCTGGGTTTGATTCCTCAGCACCACATAAGCAGAAAAAAGCTGGAAGTGGTGCTGTGGCTCAAGTGGTAGAGCGCTAGCCTTGAGCTGAAGAGCTGAAGGACAATGCCCAGGCTGAGTTCAGCCCACACGACAGACAAAAATAAAAAAAGTTTACCCACTTAAATTATTGCATGTGACCATTCCTTGTTATATTCAAGCATAAAGTAATTCCCTCTCTTTTATAATCTATAAACTACCTAAATACCAGAAGGAGTTTGAAATTTTGACTTGTGTGTTAGAGATTAAGTCCTGACAATACCTATATGGTGACTAAGCCCTTTCAGTTCAAAATGGGTCAACCATTCACAAGAAAGGCATTTCAGTCAAATAATTCAAAGACTTTATAGGCAATCACTCTAATAAGTTATATAGGGATTACATTGGAGTATTTGAAAGGTCAACATTTACATAGCTTGTTAAATGGAAATAGGTATCTGTTTCGAAGATTATTTAGCTAAATTAATGTAGAGAAAGAGAATCTGAATTTGAAAAAATTACTTCATAACATTAGTCTTAATTGGCAAAGTCACAAAGCAGAATACTTTTTGAATCTCAACAAATAGCAATCAACTACATTTTGCATTTTAGAGTTGAAAGTAATCACATTATTTTATTGGTTTTCATATTGAGAAGTTCAGACACACTGCATAAATTAGATTCTTTTACCATGAAGGCACTCTTGAATTATTTTTCCCATTAAAAGAAATCTAATTGTGATTCCAGTGGTTTTCTCAAACTGTAAAGCATTCATTGTCAGGCTGGGATGTAGCTCAGTGGCAAAGCGCCTGCCTAGCAAGTACAACGTCCTGCGTTCGATCCCCAGTACCAAAAAAGAAAAGACAAAAAAAGAAAATACAGTTAAAAAAAAAAGAGTTCATTGTCACAGGGACCCATAAATAAGGTAGAAAACTGGGGACAAGCTTGTAGAAGCTATTGTCTAAAACAGTACTGTATGGAATAAAAAGTTTACAAGTCACATGTGTTTTAAATTTTCTAATACCCATGAAATGGATTACAGTATATTTTAATCCAGTGTATCTAAAGTATAACAATATAACTAATATTCAATGATGGGATATTTTGAATTATTTTTATAGTAAGTTTCCAAAATGAGGGGTGTTTGTTAACACCTTTAGGACATCAAATAGTCAGGAGCCAATAGAACTAGTGGTTGCTGTATCTGCGCTAATGAGAACACTTCTTATTTTAAGCAAAGTGACATTTCAGTTTCTGTGCCTCAGTTTTCCACATTGGTGAGAAGCCAAGAAGAAATGTTTCAGAAATGTTATAGATTGAAATAAGGAGAGAGAAAAAAAAATTGGCTACTCCTGGCCATTCATGGGGTTCCACAAGTGTTTCACAACCTGACTTCAAAGACGACCACTTTCCAAACTGGCTGCTGGCCAAATTCGTCTGCTCCCTCATCATGCCCTGGAATAGAGTCTCATAAATGCTGCCACACAGCCCACAGTGTTCTGACTTACTGAAATCTGCTGTGGTTCAACCATATGTCCCCCATGAGAAAAGACCACACAGAGAATCCAGATTTGTCCACCAGTACTAAGCTGGGCACCATCTTCTATGACAGGCAGTCCATCTTTTTAGACATACAAATTTGCATAATGGGCATTGTATGATAATGGTGATACTATGCCAGTTACCCCACTTCCCCAAAATGGGAAGATGGCCACTGGCTGATATATTTTTAGATTTCCTGAGAAGGGTTTAATCAACACTGCCATTACACACAGATTTTTTAAAGACTTTCCAGAATGTTTTTTTACATTCTGATCTAGAAAAATCATTTTTTAGGGGGAGACTTAAAAAAAAGAAAGAAGCACTTTGCCTTTTCCTAGGACTTCAGTTGCACAGTATTTTAACATTTTTATAACAATGTTTAGCAATTTCTATTTCCATTTTCACATGCAAGGTAACTAATTGTAGGTTGCCTACAGGCTGATGATTTAAAAAGAGCCATTTTGTTTCATAATTCAATTTTTATTGCACTGAAGCAGCTGGTTGCATTTAAAATTGGAAAAGGGAAAGTAAATGCCATAAAGGCAAAGAATAAAATTAGTAAACCTTTCCTGTTTTGGGATTGTTCTTGCAAAGCCAATTCAAAGACATTTTCTTTAAAAGGTCAACAAAGTAAATTAGTACTAGGTTTTTCTTGATGGGTGTTTGTTGACTTTACACACACATACACACACACACACACACAACAAATACACAGCAGAGACAATTACAAAATTAGAATATTATAATATGATTTACTTGTCAAGGTAGAGCATTCAATCTTGCCATGTTGGTCTACTTGAGACAATGCAATGTTTCTAGACATTTACTTGTGTAATAGGATTTGTAATATTCTTGTAAGTACTAGCTATTAGGTCATATTCCAATTTCCTTAATGCTTATCATTACTGCATTCCTGATACATTATTTCCTTAGTGCTCACATTAATGCATTGTTAACTTTTGAGCATTTACTGATTTAACACTGGTGATTAGACTGTATGTCTGCAGTGTTTTTTTTAAAAAATATTGTACACATGTAATATTGGTATTATAAATTTGTAACCACATGATAAACAAAATATACCCAATCATTTTCTATTAAATTTTGTCCTCTTACTCTTCTGACACATTCAGGGTGACTTTCTAACTCCTTGATAAATACAGGAAGAAGAAGGGAAAGAAGAAAGGACAGAGAGGGTGAAAGAGCAAAAGAAAATTATGGAGATAATGATAACCAATAATAACCAAGTATAGCATTTCCTCTTTCTATATTTTATATATTAAGGGCAAGTTTTGTCATTATTATTCCTTAAGGACATGACCTAAGATCAAGTAATGTAATCTTAGTGCAGCCATTTTTTTACTTGAAGAGTAAAAGCAGTCCATCTGACAATGTCACAAGAATCAAGACACTGCTGTAAGGAAGATCCTATGCATCTGGCCCAGTGGAGTTTAAGTTAGGAGAAAGCCTCTTCCCATCTACTTGAGTATTTGATATATTTCCGTTGGCCATAAATGGGAAAATAAGATCCACCTATTATTTTCTCTTTCCATGCATTAGTTTTAGCATTATTTTTTAAACCAGAACAGGGATTTGAACTCCAAACCTCATGCTTGCTCTATTTGTACTCTGCTATTTGAACCCACTTCCAGCCTTGCTTTTTGCTAGTTATTTTGAAGGTAGGCTTTTCTGATCACCCTGGCTTTGAGCCTCAATCCCCTAGATCTCAGCCTTCTGAGTAGTTCACTGGCACCTGGCCCAAATCAATGTTTGTTTCATTTCTGTAGCCATCAGGCTCGTCATGTAGTAGCAAGAAGTACACTAAAGCCCTTCAAGCATCCCAACCTAGCCAGAGAAACAAGCAATCTGTGTTGCTCCAGACTTAAGGCTGACACTCTAAACAGCAATGCAGCTCCAAACACTGCAAAGTAACATTGTTTTTCTAAACAATCCAGTGCACTTTAAGATTTACCTGAAAAGCACAGAATATTTGTATTCAGTTTAATCATTGCTGTGATTCCTTCCATTAAAAGTGACAGATATGCCCGGTGCCAGTGGCTCACACCTGTAATCCTAGCTACTTAGAAGGCTGAGATCTGAGGATCACTGTTCAAAGCCAGCCGAGGCAGGAAAGTCCGTGAGACTCTCATCTCCAGTTAACCACCAGAAAACCAGACGTGCTGTAGCTGGAGCTGTAGAGCACTGGCCTTGAGCTGAAGAGCTGAGGGACAGTGCCCAGGCTGAGTTCAAGCCCCATGATCGACCAAAAAAAAAAAAAGATAATTAATCCAATCAAATTGAATGGCTTTTATTTTCAACTTAGAAGATTATTGCAAGCTACTCGAATGTGATAGGCTTTGTTTACATTAGATTTTTTGAAAGCTGTTGTTTTCCCAAAGCTCTCTCTCAACTCTGACAATCAGTGTTTAATGGTAAAAATTTACTAGATTTTTTTCCTTTCCTTGAGACATGGATAATAGTCTTCTTTGCACAGGATAAAATTAAGTGTGACAATAAGTTGAAAACTATTGTAATTGCCATCTTTTATCTTTACCTATTTTATATTTATTCTATATAGCATGTAAATAGATAAATAGCATAGATAGCACACATAATTTTTTCTGTTTACTATATACTTTCAGTAATATTTTATGGTTATCTGTAAATAAAAAGAATATTCTAATATTCAAAGAAGCCAAAATGGCGTAATAGTGGACCTTTATTCCATGTCCAACAGATAATGGTGTTTCCTTCCATTTCTTTATTATTATTATCATTTTGGTGCTGGTACTGGGACTTGAACTCAGTGTTTCTGACTCTCACTTAGCTTGGCTCAAGGCTAGCACTCTTACCACTTGAATCATACTGCCATGTCTGGATTTTAGCTGGATAATTGGGGATAAAGGGTCTCTAATGGGCTTTCCTGACCAGGCTGGCTTCAAACTTTTTTTTTTTTTTTTTTTTTAGAAAAAAGAATGAACTATATACAGGGTCTAATGAGAACCTCTTGTTTTGATAAGTTGGAGTTCATGTTAATATGCTTCATTCTATATAGTCCTTTTCACTAAGCGCTTGAGTTATTGAAATCCCCTGTGAAGAATATCATATACATATTCTAGTTTTTACATGCGACCTGCTTTTGTTTGGGTCTAGCTTACTTCATTTAATATAATTATTTCCAAGTCTTTTCATTTCCTTATGAATGGAACAATGTTATTCTTTCTGATGGAAGCATAGAATTCCGTTGTGTATATGTACCACATTCTCTTAATCCATTCATCTACTGAGGGGTATTTGGGTTGGTTCCATATTGGCTATGGTGAATAATGCTGTGATAAACATAGTTGTGCTGGTGGCTTTAGTGTGGCCTTGTGAGTAGCTTGGATTACAGGCCACCAGCATCTGTGTTTTTAATCACCTGTGAATTCAGTGAGTGGGTACAGCTGACTTAAGGGTATAAAAAATTAGCCAGTGAACTAAGGGTGTATGTAAAAGGACTTACGAATGAAAGGGTTGGGGTCAATATGAGTATTCGTCCTAGTTTAAATGTCAATCATTCTTTCATCTCTGGTCTTTGAGATATACATATAAAATTAATGAGCATTTAAAACGTAATCTCCACATTTAATTAATTCCCCCAAGGAATTAAATTTAAATCTCCAAAGAACAATTTCCTAAGTCAGGCAAATGGTGGCTCCAATACAAGCCTCTACTGGCTGATTTTATTGGAACATTGTTTAAGGCCACAATATCTAAGATATCGATATGGCATTTTATACAGTAAAAAAAGAATTGTGGCTATTTCATTTTACTCAAGGCGCCTCATGCTTTCTGATGACCTCTAGAATGTAATCTGCAAACTACTGAGTTTTTTCTCTTAGCTTGAGGTTACTATCCTCATTTCCTATTTTAGGAAGTTAAATGAGTTTTATTTTATATGGCACATGGTCACACAAGAACAATTGTGTAAGAGAACAACTAAACAGTGAAATTTCTCTGCAGGACCAAAATGCAACACTGCCTCATTCTCGAAAAAGGAAATTGGAATATGACTCGAAGCTGGCCATGAATGGAAGATTTCTAGATCTTTGAGTATGCTTTAGAAATATGATCATTATATTTTAACAATTATATGAATGACATCTTAGCACTAGGACTTACTCATACTAAGTCCATCCAAAGCTGTTACTTAGCAAGATAAAAAATAAGAGCCCTTTGGTTCTTCATCTCTTATGATATTCTGAAGCTATCTATATTAACTGGACTTCCATTCATCACTTTTAGGAAATCATATGCTTCGTTATATGGCATTCCATGACAATGACTTGCCCATCAATAGTTCTAGAAACACTTTCCAAACTCCATGCTTTTCTTAGTGCTTTATATTTCATTTCTTGGAAAAGACAGGGCCTTGAGTCAATGCTTGGCTTTCCTTACATATTTAGAAATCCAACAAGAACCCTTTGTCCAAGTCTATTTCTGTCACAAAGAAATTACTCATTCCAAAATATCTGTCTAAAGGGAGCAGGTGACCCACATACTGAGAGAAATTTTAGGAATTCACAACTCTCATGTCTTAGTTGGGCTTTCAACATCTGTAGTCAAAGGATTACAAATGAGATATTGAGTAGAAACCCCACTATATGCCTGTTATTAAGACTATCTAAAATTGTCTCATGACTTTAAATAATACATGCTTTTCTTTAAACTGTTGCAGTGATCAAGACATAACATATTCCCAAGGGTAGATTATAGAGCTCAGAACCAAAAAACTGGAATCATCTGCCAACTTCTGTTGGTTGACATGTGTAGCAGAGTGACAGTTGGAATGGGAGAGGGGAAGGATTACAACATGTAAATAGAAACCCCACATTTCCACTTGCCAATGGTCTGCATTTCTCAGAAGTTTGAAGGCAGTTATTATTTTGGGGGGATGCTGGTTCTGAGGCTTGAATTTGGGGTCTAGGTGCTGTCTCTAAACTTCTTTGCTTGAGTACTACGTAAGCCACAGCTCCACCTCATGCTTTTTTTATTTTTTATTTTGTAATGGTTAATTGGAGATAAGAGTCTCATGGGCTTGCCTGCTGAGCTGACCTCAACTATAATCCTAAATTCTCTCAGCCGCTTGAGTAAGCTAGGATGAGAGGTGTGAGCCACTTGCACCCATCTTGATAAATGTAAATATTTTTAGAAATAAATAAACCACCAAAGTCAATAGCTAATTTTCTTCTGAGAAATTACACAAAACAGTTGAGTTCTACATCAAAAGGACACTTTCATGAAATGATTGGCTACATTTCAAGCATCCCAGAAGTCTGTTTTTCCAGGAAACTTTCACTGAGAAACTATTACATGCAGTGGCGTAGTCAGAGATCAATTAAACCCAGTGGAGAGAAGAGTCATCCTGTGCTAAATCCTGGCAGCTGGTGAGTCCTTTAGGGATGGAAAGAGGGAAGAGCTCCTGTCTACCATGAATGATCAAAGAACACTTCTTGGGAATAGGCTGACTTGAGAGACAAGAGAGGATTGGTCTGCCTATAGTCTGTCAGCACAGGCAGAGTGAAGGAAAGTAGGGCAAAGTGGTGAAGGAGTAAAGCTGTGTGTGGACGCCGCTGAGCCTGCAGAACAGTCTCAGGTTTTGTACATAGCTGAGTTAGACAGCCTCCTTGCTCTTGGTAAACATACCTTCAGCCTTTCCTCAGACCATCCAGCTTCCATATTTAGCTATCCTGGTATGCCAGTCCAAAGAATAACCATCATTCAATGCACCAAACACAATTGCAAGTCACCAGTAAAAGCAAGGCCTCAGCCACTGAAAGTTAAAACTGCACTGACTCGGCCTCTCTCCCCACGCCCCCACCCCCCTCAAAAAAAATAGCAGTGTAAACTTGAAGGTGATGAGTAAATTTTATGAAATTGCTTTTCTAAAACTACTCTGTGACCCTATAAAAATCACCTACGTCTTCAAGTTTGACTAACGGAAGCCCAGATCAAAGTTGCTGTGGTTGTGTCAGCCCTATAAGTCATCTGACCTGAAAGGGCAGCTCTCACAGGAAGGTTTAGACATCAAAAGACAACTTGTACAAAGCTAAGTCTCAGACAACAAAATTTAGAATGCCAAATGTCACTTTGTCATTGTGCCTCTGTCCTAATTCTCATTCCTTTCTATACATTCCTTTTTTGTGTTGCTTATTACAAGCAGTGTTCTTCATCTTGAGAAACTTGTCTTTATTTAAAAAGTATTTGCTAGTTAGAATGAGGTTATGGTAGGAATGCTTTTAGTTGTAACTTTATACTTTATAATGTCCGTGATTAGCAAAGGCTATGTGATTACCGAGGACCGCTGAAATAAGGAGAAATGGAGACAAAGATAAACTGCCATCTGAATGATGGAAGAGAAGCTGAGAAGCAGAGATAGAGACTGTCAAGCTTCAGAAAGCAGGGTAGCAGGCACTGAGGAAGGAGAACCTGCAAAGGATTTATGTAACATTACCTGGGGTGTCTTCTCTCATCTTTACTAGATATGAAATGTGTATTCCTGGGTTGTTGAAGGTTTTCTGTACCAAAGCTCCACAACCAGTTCAGTAGCATCAAGGAAAGTTAAATTAATAGAATAACATCACACACAGGATACCTGCAATCATTTGGAGGGTAAGTCATTAGCCCAAAACAAGAACTTGTAAGATTTGGAGGACGAAATATAAATATCCAGGTTTACATGGCTAATAGAACATTAAAGGCTTCCTTCCCAAATTCTGGTTTAAAAGGAGCAGTAAACACTTCATTCTTCAAACTTGTCAAAATGGTGCTATTGATTTCTTAATACCAAGATGCATTACAATATTTTTAGGTAAATAAAGGTTGGCCTAGACATAAATGTAAACACAGAAAAAAGTTTGTAGAGAATTCATCAAGATCATGCCATTTGCTTTTGGTTAAGCTACCACATCTGCAATGGTAATGACTGATAAGAGTGCCCAGGACTTACCAAATATTAAACACAGTGATTATTGACCCTCTCAGCTGCTAAGAGACTTGAGGCAGACAACATGAGAGCTCCCAGTGGCTTGTTTGGGCTCTGGTTAGACAATATCATTCAGTGATTAAGTATGCTAATTGGAGGTGCTGGTCTCAAGGAATTAAAAGGAAGAGTATATGACCTGAGCAAAAATGAATGTTGGTAGGCAATGATATCTTGTGAGAGTTCAGACTGTCTGAACACATCCACAGAAACCTATACCTTGCTACTGGGAAATCTGCAAAGCAATTTGCATGTACTGTATGAAAATAAACCATGTAAGAGTGCACCAAATCTTTGTATTCTATGATTTAAAATGTTACCACAATTTAAGGAAAATGCAGTGGCATTTTCTTTATATCTGAAATGTGTGGTTGAATCTTCTGAGGATTTTCCCCTTCTCTAAGATAAAATTATAGTTTGAGTTCCTCTAGGATGTGTAACACTGTGTACTTGAATATTTGTTTCCTTGGAGTAAATTGATAACATTATGAATGTCAAGAGGGGACATTAGTAATTACTTCATCTGGCAAGCTCAACTTATTTAAAAGGTTTTACACATGGAAAGGTAATACCTTTCATAAGTTCACAGAGGCTGAGAAGGGAATAGACATCTTCATCTGATTCTGCCCCACTGAAAAATCAATTCACTGGACATAATTGCAACAATTCACATAAAAATATATTGCCCATTATTTTTAATAGAAAATATTGAGCCAGACACTGGTGCCTCATGTCTGTAATCCTAGCTATTCAGGAGGCTGAGATCTAAGGATCGTAGTTTGAAGCCAGCCCAATAAACTACTCAGAAAAAGCTGGAAGTGGCTCTGTGGCTCAAGTAATAAGAGTGCTAACCTTGAGCACAAAGAGGCTCAGAGACAGTGCCCAGGCCCTGAGTTCAAGCCCCAGGACCGACAAAAAAAAAGAGAGGAAAAAAAAAGAAAATACTCAACACAAAGTAGAAACTTACTCATAACATTTTCCAGAAACTACTTCTTTATTCTAACACTAGTTTACTTTTTCCTACAAACTGCCCTCATATGTACAGCAATACATTTTTGCATAATCTGGATCAGCATAAACAAATATAAAAGTTATGAAGCTTTTTCTGTCCTTGAAAAAATTCACCATTTTAAAAAAAATCCAAGTGTGGAATTTGGGGGCCAGAAGGGATCCAATGGTCATGTTCCATGATGCTTTCAAATCTTCAGGTCCAGAGACCAGGAGCAAAAAATAGTTCGTGTCTTTTTTTCTTCCTTTTTTTAAATATTATTACTAAGTACAGTGCTTCTCAGTCACTGTCACTCTTTACATTATTCTCCCCTGTTTCCCCCTCCTGTCTCTGCTCATGTTGATTCTTAAGAAGGTAGCAGGACTTGAGCTGGGCTACTTGGTGAATTAGCAAACATTCTGTGTAAAGTATCTGTGGGGGAAGCCAGTGATATGATAGCCGGCCTCACCTTTACAACTGGAATTTTCTCTATTCACCACCAGCCTGACTTGAATGGGAAGCACATTCACCCTGCACAAAGATATTTCCATTGAGGGAACTATGGGGAGTGCTAAAGAAAACTAAAAGCTCCCATCAGAAAATCAATTTTTGACAGGATATGAAACATTTCTTACTAATTTCATTCTGGTTTTGCACCTCTAGACTATTTCTTTTCATAAAAAGTCAATTTTCCTGTACTTAATATCAACAAAAATAGGAAGTAACACCTGAAAAAAAGAACACTAATGCATAAATGCCTGTTTGGGGTACAATTACCCTCTGCTTCTTCACATTTTTGCTACAGCATTTTGAACTTCTCCAGTAGTCTTTCCAGCTGGCAATACAAGTATGCTCTGGGATACGTTTTGTATCATCTCCTGGTTAAAAGCCTGCCATAAGAACTCTGCTCCAAAGTAACAGAAACATGGGGAAAACACAGACATGGGCCATTCATGTTGATATGTGCCATGAAACACCAACCATTAATTAACCCACCCTGGGAGGTCCATCAACTCATTACTTTCATGAAGGATAGTCATGACACATCTGCCATTAATTACAAGGGGCTCACAATGTTTCTTGACTAGAGCAAATGATTACACTTCATGCTTATTTCAGAGGGCTGTCATTTTCCTTCATGACATGTAGAGGAAACTTACATCTTCCAAAGTTGATTCAAGTCAGTGACACTATGGTTGGCTAGGGAGGGGGTTGGATCTTTCCCCTATCCAGGCTGGAAGTCCTTACAGTTATTCCTTTATAGTCACGTGATCCACACTACAGAGGATTCTGGAAAGGCATGTGCTTTCCTGACAGTATGGACAAATGAGAAGAGTGGCACCTTGAATCTTCTCAACTTTTATTTGCAGTTTCCAGGACTGGTGAGTTAGCCATCACTCACTAAAAGGTAAAGATGTGAACAGCAGCAGAATCAGCTCTGAAATTCCTCAGCTGAAAAAAAACATTAACAACTATCTATATTCAGCTGTCTTAGTGCATTCCAGCAGCTACAACAAAACATCATGAATTTATTTGCATTCAGCATTTCTGCAGGAAGTTTAAGATTAAGAAATCTGGAGTCGGGGCTGGGAAGGTGGCTCAGTGGTAGAGCGCTTGCCTTGCATGCCTGGGGCCCTGGGTTCGATTCCTCAGCACCACATAAGCAAAAAGAAAAAAGAAAGAAGTGGCACTGTGGCTCAAGTGGTAGAGCGCTAGCCTTGAGCTGAAGAGCTGAGGGACAGCGCCCAGGCCCAGAGTTCAGGCCCCACGACTGGACCCAAAAAAAAAAGAAATCTGGAGTCTTGGCATCTGGTGAAGGCCTGCTCTGTCAGAGGATGCCAGTTCACTGTCCACACACGGCAGGAGTCCCAGTTCTCTCAGGTTCCACTTTTAATGGCACTAATTAATGAGTTTTGGTGGGTGACCTAATCACCTCTCAAAGTCCCACCTTCAACACCCACCATCTTGGGAGTTAGGATGTCAACATAGGAATTTTGGAGAACATGAGCATTCAGACCATAACATTTCAATTAGTATATATTATGTGAAAAGGTTTCATTGTAATATTTCTCTATATACATGTGTATTTGATTGAATTCATCTCCCCACTTGCTTGTAATTCCTCACTTTTAATGAAATAGTAATGGAATTTGAGTGTTCTGTTTGCATACATGTAAGTAGAACTTCAACCACAATTATTCCCACCATCCTTTCTACTGCTCTCCACCTCCCGCTGCTTCCTCTCTCCCAGCAGTCCTCATTTTACACTCATCTTTTTCTTCTTTCCTTCCTTCCTTTCTTCCTTGTCTAGATTCTGCATTTGAGCAAGAATATGTGATATCCTTTTCATTCTGGCTTATTTCATTTAACATGATGATCTACAGTCCCATCTATTTTGCTGCAAAGAACATAATTTATGGCTCAATAAAACTTCATTGAGAATACTGACTCTTTTTATCCATTCATCAATGGATGATATATATCTAGGCTAATTCACTACAGATTTTTTTTAAGTGAGGAAGACAAGTCTCTAAGCCACTTCATAGTTGTCTTATATTACATTTAGAGCATCCCTAACGTACAAATTATGAGTTCCCTGCAATCACAAGACTATTTCCAATTACAAATGAAAATATGTCTAGTCCACTTAACACAATTACTTCAACATCTATTTTAAAAAAAAAACAGGAAACCTCTCATCATATACTACTATTCTAAGGGCAGAATATACTCATATATTTGAGTTGCTGTAGTTTCGATGTTGAAATGTCCCTCAAAGGTCCAAATGTTACAGATTTGGTCCCAGGGATGTGTTATTGGGAGGTGGTACTTATTGGGAAGTCAATAGAATACTGGATGATCTCTCAAAGGAGACCATGGGATCCTGATCTCTTCCTCCATCCTTCACTTTCTAAGGAAAGTTTGCTCAACCACAAGCTCCTATCATGATGTGCTGCCCTTACCAGAAGCCCAAAGCATAAGGACACTTAATTCTGAACTGGAACCTCTCGACCTGTGAGCCACAATAAACCATTTTTGTAAATTACTAAATCGTCTCAGACATTTTGTTACAGTAATGGAAGGCTAACTAATACAATATCCAATAAAGATTCAGCAGTATCATGGCTACTATTATATGAGACATTAGCAAGACATTAGCATGTGCATTATTAATGTTATTTTCCAGATTTTTATTTTTCCTTGCATTTATGTTATTAACTTGATTTTCCATGTTTTTATTTTTCCTATGTACCAATTCAAAAAGTTCCATTCATTAAATTCATATATATGAAACTAAATATTTGGTCAACACTTAAGGTTAAAGCAACTTAAACACACAAAATCAACAATGAATTATAAAGAGTATTTAAAAATTTTTATTTTGATATAATTTTTAAAAATATACATTCATAGCAATACATGCTCTTATTAGCTTATTAAATACCCTAGTTTTACATATTGATTCATAAAACAATTATATTCTTCTCCAAAATAACATAGCTTTTCTTTACAACAGATAAACTTTAATGTCCAGCTCTATATGTAAAATCTCTGAAAACAACACAACAATGAAGTCATAATCTTAACTTCTTGTGTAGAAACACTGACTTAATGTTACATCTGTGCTCAGGTCCAACTATCCCATTATCCTAGAAGTTCGATGAGACCACTTGAAAACTAAGAGTGTAGTTCCTAATTAAGCCTTGACTTTGATCCTTAAAATGGAAAAGGAAAGCGGAAGGAGAAAAGGGAGAGACAGACGGAGGGAGAGAGGAAAACTAAGAGTGTAGTTCCTAATTAAGCCTTGACTTTGATCCTTAAAATGGAAAAGGAAAGCGGAAGGAGAAAAGGGAGAGACAGACGGAGGGAGAGAGGAGGAAGGAAGAAAAAGAAAAAAAGGAAGATGGAAGACAGAAAGAAGGAGTAGGAGCTGGGGAGAAGAAAGAGGAAGAGAGAAGAGGGGGAAGGATGGAGGGAGGGTGGGCTTGCAGAGGCACTAGGATCGAGGAAAAACTAAAATTGTATTACCTGGGGTATAATTTTGTGGCTGGGAATCTGCCATTTCAAATAATTAACCTCAAGGAACACTGAAATAAAGAGATTTCTGACATTCATAATCTCTCTGGTACTGTAGAAGTCTGTACTATAAATGCAGATAATTAAGTTCTAATCATTACTTTTTTTAGGTATTGCTTTAAACTCAAGAAATATCAACATAAACTAATATTTCATGCAACATATCACCAAAGACACACTCTGTTTTCTTTTAATTAATTTTCTTTTGAAAAATAGCACAATATACACTGAAAACAGTATTGTATCAACAACTCTATGTCCTATAAATTTGGACATATTAGTTATAGACTATAGAAGATACTCAACAAGAGAAAAAATAAGGCAGACTATATTCTTTTATACCTCAACTGTTCTATCAGAAGTTATTTATCTTTAAAAAGGAAAATATTTCAGGGCAGTCATTTTTATTTTGACAATTTTTCATTTATTTCTAAAATTCATATGTACTAGTTAACCAGCAAGTCTCTAGAAACTAGAAACAATTTCACTAGGATACATGCCTGTAATCTCAGCATTTTAGGAGGCTGAGGCAGGAACTTCAAGAGTTCAAGACTTGCCTGGCCTCTAATAGAGACCCTATCTCATGGGAAAAAAATTCAACAAAAGTAATTCCATGACATTGTCTATTTATCTTATAGAAAAACAAATAAATACACACAGTCTAGAGCTCTTCATTACAGTAGCCATGGGCCTTATGTAGCTAATGAACACTTTAGATAGGTTAGTCCAAATTAGTAAAAAATATACAGCAATTTTCAAAGAATTAGTATGAAAGACAAAATATATGCTATCTCAGTAATTTTTACATTGCTTATATGCTAAAATAATATTTTGTATATATTGAGTTAAATAAAATATATTGCCAAAATTAATCTTCAGCTATGTATCTTTAATTTTTTTAATGTGGCTGCTAGGATATTTCAAGTTATAGATGTTTGTTTCCTCTTTCCTCCTGCACTCCATGGTACAGCAGACTCAATTAGGTGCTAATATAAATCCCACCCAGCATCATTAAACTTATACTATTATGACACCTGACTTGACACAATATAGTTAATACATTAAAACAAAAATCCTGAGCTTAAAAATCACACGCACTCCTCAGACAAACAACAAGACCTACTATAATCCTTCTCAACATCTTCCTTTCCCTGGCAACTGTGATAAACTTTGGTTAGATTTGAGTCTGCAAACCAACAAAAGGGATCTTTCAAGGTGACAGAAATGTTCTAAAATGGTTTTGTGATGATGGTTGCATAACTTTATAAATGTACTGAAAAAACTCGCAATTACACACTTCAGGTGAGTCAACTGTATTATGTAAATTATATCTCAGTAAAGCTGTTTCCCACAAGTGCCCAGCTGGAGCCCAGTCAATCTAAAGTATCATATAGAAGCTTCACATACATCTCAGGTAACTCAAATACAATATTTGCAAACTCATCCTATGATTCAACATTGCAAGGAAATTGTTTTGTGAAGATTATTTTACCCCCAGGGGGTCTGGGTTCAACAGGGAATTTTGTGCTCACCTATTGGAAGTATAAATTAGTAAGGACAAAGTGAACACAAGGTTAGGGAGATAGGGGATTTCTTTCCCTTTAGAGGCCCCAGCTCAGGCAGTAATAGCCCTTATAATGATGTATCTAGTCTCATCCCAAATCCTTTACCCTATTTTTCCATCCAACACAGAAGAATGGAATGTAGTGACCTAAGAGAAACTAGACTAAAAGAAACAAATGGAGGAAAACAGATGAAGTCTAATATTTAATGATTCTCATCGGATATTCAAAAGTAAACTCTGTTTTTCTTTCTACTAGAAGAGGAAAAAGTAGCAAAGAAATCCAGCAATTCAAAAGTTGCAGTTAATTTAGAAAAGGATCAATAAACTTAAGCTAAGAACATGGAATTCTTTGTTCATTGTTTCTCTCAGATCTTGAAACATTACTTACAATCTAAAAACTGAGTCTGCCCACCTAGTGATGGTGCTAGCAAAACAAATAAACAAAAAACCAAAAAAAAAAAAATTTCATTTTCCCCACTTTCCTCACTCAAAATGAGTCTAAGAACTGATTTCCTCTTTCCTTACACTCAGGAAAACAGAAAACAAGTGAAACATAAATCAAACCTTGAGGCACTTAAACTGTTATCATAAATGATTACATACTTTTGTGGGGTTTTCTGTGGTTTGCCTGTTTGTATTTTCCAGGACTCTCTCAATAAATACATAAATACCATTGTAATGACAGGTAAGAAAATCATATGAACAATAGCATGCATTTCTGTGCATGCACAGAAGCTTATACATACACACAAAGATTTTCAAGGACACCCATGTCTCCTCATGTTCTCATTTTAGAAGCCAGAGCCAGGAACTGGTGACTCAGGCCTATAATTCTTACTCGAGACTGAAGCCTTCAGTTTAAAGTCAGCTCTAGGAGGAAAGTTGTTAAAATTCTTACTGAAGACTTCAGTTTAAAGTCAGCTCTAGGAGGAAAGTTGTTAAAATTCTTATCTTCAACTAATCACTAAAAGGCCATAGTGGATCTGTAGCTTCAATAGTACAGCAATCATCCTTGAGCAAAAATGCTAAGGGGACAGTACCTAGGCTTCAAGTTTAAGCCCCAGTACCAACACACACAGTATCAACACACACACACACACACACACACACACACACACACACACACACACACACACACACACACACACACACACACACACACACACACACACACACACACACACACACACACACACACACACACACACACACACACACACACACGGCCAGAAAGTTCATTCAAAAGCTAAAGCATGAGATGAGATGGAATGTTAAAATTATTATGGAATACTTATTTAAAGGATAATATCCTGGCATTTGGACAAATGCATAGATACATTTGTTATTGTTCTGGACAGAAGTTACATAACAACCAGGAATGCTTATGATAGTTTGTACTGTTTTGTGAATAGGGTGGTACTTTTACAACTAAAACATGTACAGTACATTGACTGAGTTTGACTTTCTAGAGTGGTCTCTCTGCTGGTGAGGAGAGGATAACACCTGCTGTTTCCTGCACCTCAGACTGCTGCTCGGTGTGGGGTCACCAGGGCATAATCCACAGAGATGTACATAATCATATTTCTGCATAAATGCTACTTAATAAAGAGTCCCAATATAAATACATAAAGACACAAATATGCTTTCAAAGACATTACAAGAGAATGCTATCTAGATATCAAAAGTAAATTACGTTTGGATTATATAACATCCATCCTTTTCTCATTTTTGTCTTTTTAATACTTAAAGGAGTACAATTCAACTGGTTTCTCCATATAAAATATACCTAAGAGCTTTTATCTTTTGTCCAAGGTATCCTCAAACTCATAAAACATATTGAAAGTAAGACAGTAGCATCTACCTCCAAAAACATTAAAATTTTACAAAATATTCATAAAGTTCCAAAATAATATGAACAGCATAAAGCTTGTGCTTTCTTTGAGTTCTTAGAAGCCAAAATATCCATACTGCCACACTATTCCCTTTCTGTAAATAATCTGGGCCAAACAACTGTAGCTAATTCTTGGTGGAGTTCTCTTTTCTATTTTTAGACATACTTGCATACTCAACAGTTTGCAAATAAAAGTTTAGCAAAACTGAAATGCCCTCTTTTAGCTCTTTACTTTAAGAATAAAATAAAATGCTGTATTACCAAGCCAAAACATCTGAAATGTGTCCACAGGCTATACAGAAGAGAGAAGAGGCTGATGTTTACAAGCCATGCATCTGATGGGAAGCAGTGGTTCAGCGGATCTCAGGAAACCAGTTTGAACATACTACTCCTTCTGTAAAGCTTTTCGTAAATCAGTATAGAAGTTGGCTAAAGTGCTTGCCATGGCTGTGTCAACTGCAGACTGAGGAATCATTCCACGCAGATCTGTCTGAATATAACCTGTCAGGACACTCTGGCTTGGACTGTCCTTAAGTGGAACACAAAACCAACCGCAGGGATGGTTATATCCTCGAACAAATTCCGGTCTCTTTTCACTCCAGTCAACACTTACTCCTAAAAGACAATTTTTAAATAATACTATTAATAGCAGCAACTGACATTTGTCTAAAACTCTCATGTAAAAAAATATAACCTGATTTCTTAGTTAAATACGCTGCTTCTTATCCACAAGGATGAAAATCCTTAAGAGTAACCATAGCAGAATTTAAAAACAAACAACAATAACAACAAGAACAATTACTGGTGGAATAAAAAAAGATAATTACCAAGTAAAATTCTGACAGGGGCTTGATAGACAGGAATTGGGGAACGTTCTAATCCTTTCGGAAGAGATGACATCATGTCTGTCATTCTTGGAAACTATTAGCAAATTACAAGGTTTGGTTGTTGCAGCTATACCTCGAGGTGCCAATAACCACATTGATGGTGCCATGACTATTTTCCACACACACAACCATAGCCAATGTTGATACTAGCTACTTCAAAATAAAAAGTAGATGTTTACCTACAACTGTAATCAGAAGGGCATACTATCTATAAAGTATTAATTTACATATATATGAAATATATATATAGGAAATAGAAGCTTACCATTGTCAGTATTTTTTAATTTTGCAAAAGAATACACAGCTTATGGAATATTTCTCACACATATACCAAGATGCTGTTTTCTGAGAGTAATTTAGAAGAAACTCACTTTATTAGATCCCTGTCTTAGAGTTAGTCATAGGTTCCATTTCTGCTATTTATGAACTACGGGATAGCATGTAATTGGAAATGAAAATTTATGAACAAAAACCTTTCATATGTTTTTATCCCTTAGAGCCTAACATTTGTAAAAAGAAAAAAAACAATAACTATGAGGGTTGAAAACATATTTCAGAAAGAAGGAAACATCACCCTCTTAGGAAACTCAAATGGACTGAAAGCACATGGTTTTAGTATTATTACCACAGGATAAAAGTCCTTCTTCATAGCCCACAGTGTAGGAGAAATCAACAAACTCTCTAGGAGAAATAATATTCAAAAGCTGACCAGCTGTAGTGTAGCGCATCACACAAGAATTCTAAAAATGAAGAAAAAGAGAAAAGTAAGACAGGTATTATTACCATAGAAAGTACACACATAAAATGGATATGGATGAAAATATACACAGGCACAAATTCCCGGGTATCTTAGATGTCCAAAAGACTAATAACTAATAATTAAATAATTTAAATTAATAATTTGGAGAATAATTCTACTTGTACAGGATTAATTAATATTCCATAATTAATGAGGGAATATAGGTTGTTTAAGAGTGTTAGAGATAAAATCCATACTTTGACAACAGTACTGCATATTTTAATAATTCAAATATGATATATCAATTAATAAAAATAGACATCAAGCCATTTCTGCTACATCTTTTCTTAATGCTTTTTTGGTCTTCGATTTTTGAGTTAGTATTAATGGAAAACCTACACACGTTTATCTAGAAACTTAAGTATGAAAGTGGGTTTTTATTTTTAGAATTTTAGATTTTAGAACCTTATAGTTTTACAATTAAAGATGTTAAAGATTATCTGAAGTAGGAAGAATAGGACTACTGTGACAAATGAACTCAGTCCTAATATTCATTGATTAAGATGAGGAAACTCAGGCTTTTTAAAAGATAGCATAGTATTCTCCTGAGATAGCTTCACCATGACTACTATTCTCAAAGCAATGAAAACAATGAATATCAATGTAAATATGTATAGACATATTTACACACATATGCGCTCTCTTTCTCTCTCTCTCTCACACACACACACACACACACACACACACACACAAACTCAGAGTGATGTTTCTAAATAGATACCTCCTCAAAGCGTTCCAGAACATCCAGAGAAGTCATTAAGCGGTCCCAATCCAAACGCCAGGGTCCCGGGCGTATATGATCTATTACATTGATGACAATGTCATCTATAACACCTTGGGCTTTGTAGCTGGAGACAAAAATGAAAGATAAATGCTATTAGCATGAAAAGAATTTCAGCATGTCCTCACTGTCCAGAGCTAACACTGAATGTAGGAGTGAAAATTAATGCAATTTTTTGAAGGAGTAAATCCCAACAATTTTTCTGATAAATTAAGTTGTACTAAATTCTACCAAAATCCTCATGGTAAAAAAAGAAAAGAAAAGAAAAAAATTAAACACATGAAAGTAGAAGGGGAACTATTTGCAAAGAGGAAGAGAACTAGCTGGCAGAAGTGGAGCAAAAAGAGCTGATAAGGGAATGAATATGATTGCGCTACACTATATACATGTATAAACATCTTAAAAACGAAGCCCATTATTTTGTACAATACAAAACAAATGAAAAATAATAATTTTGTAAAAAAAAAGTCCTTAAATCTAATTAGCAAACAGGGATAGACAATGTATCACCATAAACACAGTAAGATCTGTTATAATAATACTAGTCCATTTATTTTGTGTATTGGTCTTTAGTTATCCTCAAACATATCAGTCCATGCAAATTGTAGCTTTAATTTTTAAAAGCTTTTTATTAAAAGCAGAAAGATAGTCCTGTGGAAGAACAGAACACGTGGGAAATAGTTGATGAATATACAGGAATTTGACATTTTTATTGATAGCACTAGCTATCTTTACATCTACTGTTCAATAAGTGGTACTCAGATTCAATAATTATCTTTATGGTGATAATAAAAATTAGATCTCAACACATCCCATCATTCAAAACAATTCTAGTAAATATCTCTGTTTAAAACATAAAACATTAAAACTTTGATGAAAAGAAAATATTCATATGGTGTGACTTTTGAATGTCAGGAGATTTCTTTTAAGAATAGGATACATAAAAACACAAACATATACAAAAGTTGTGTGAAAATTTGAAACCTACTGTTACACTTGAAAAAAGATTTTTTTCTTGAGCTAGACATAGTCTAGCTCAAGAAAAGATATAAAGATATAAAGATGGTTATTATAGTCAGGTGCTGGTGGCTCACACCTGCAATCCTAGCTACTCAGGAGGCTAAGATCTGAGGATCGTGGTTCAAAGCCAGCCCTGGCAGGAAAGTCCGTGAAACTCTTATCTCCAATAAACCACCAGAAAACCAGAAGTGGAACTGAGGCTCAAGTGGTAGAGTGCTAGCCTTGAGCTGAAGCGCTGAGGGACAGCGCCCAGGCCCAGAGTTCAAGCACCATGACTGACCAAAAAAAAAAAGATGATCATTATAATGGACATATAATCATCCTAATAAATTAATGAAAACAATTCAAACAAAGATGAACAAATGGCATACTAAGACTGACTTGAAGTATCAACAAATACACTTATCTTCACTAGTAATAAAGATATCTAAAGCATAAGTAAGGTACATGCTTACAAGGGATGATATCTAAAACATACACATAAGATACATGCTTACAAGGCATGATCTCATTCATATTCCTTGGATTAGCAGAGATTAAGAGTAGAGGAAGGGCCTGGGAAGGTGGCTCAGTGGTAGAGTGCTTGCCTTGCATGCATGAGGCCCTGGGTTTGATTCCTCAGCATCATATAAACAGAAAAAGCCCGAAGCGGCACTGTAGCTCAAATGGTAGAGCGCTAGCCTTGAGCTGAAGAGTTGAGGGACAGAGCCCATGCCCAGAATTCAGGCCCCACGACCGACAAAAAAATAAAAATAAAGTAAGAGTGGAGGAGGATGAGAACTCTTAAACTACTGTTTTTGAGAGCAATTTGGTACTGTCTAGCAAAGCTGGATGATATTCATTCTTTAACCACAAAGGAAATCATACATGTATATAAAGAAACACAAATACTGTACTATCAAGAGAATTGGCATAATCCACCTACCTATGAATAGGAAAACTTGCAAACATAGATAAAAACTAAATCTTGACGATACTTAATGAAAAAATTACAGGCAAATTAGTAAAGTACATACAGGAAATATAAAGACTCTTTAAACTTTATAAATATGCATTCAAAGTATGAAACAAAACTAATACATACAACTTTAGAATATTAAGTTACCTCAAAGGAAGAAAAAGGGGGGACAAAGTATGAAATAGCTAGGTTTCAATGGTATCAGGAAATTTTTAAAGCATCTGAAGCTGTTTAGTTACTTCATAAACATCATAAGGCAAACTTATCACCCCACCCTAAATCTGCTTTCCTCCTATGTTCTTTGACATTGGTGGGGTAGCACAGATTCATCTATTATATTACAAATTAGAAATCTGGAATTCAACTTTGACTATTTCTTTTTTCTTAAGCCTATTCTTTTACACAAAACTAATCGACCACCATGTGGTCGATAACCAAGATGACTTTTGAGATGTAAAGCAGTTAGAACACTCTCTGGCTTCAATATATGTTAGCTATCATTGCTTCACTACCACCACCGTTGTGATAAACACCACTAAAACACCAAGGCCATCATTAAATCTGTTGTACATTTATTTGTCTTTTACAACTCCCATGCGGCTGCCTTAGTTTGAGCTCCCTATACCTTAGCTGAACTCTTAATCATATATTTTTTTAAGAATCTGAAGAAAAAAGTCACAGTTCACTACCTCTGCAATCTAGAAGTAATAGAAGAAGCTACTCACAGATGCCTAGGTAAAACCTCTTTGTCAACTCTCCATGTTCATCTGCATCTTTCTCAGTGTTATTAGAGAAAATCCAAAATGTTTAAAAGACTAGAAAACAAGGATGGGAGTTGGATAGAAAGCAGCCAATACTGAATTCCTTAGTTTCAAATTCAATAACCCTTCAGACTTATATTCTTCCAGCCCCAAATTTATGATTCCAGCTTCTAGAGCAGAAACACAATTTGTATTTCCCTAAATAAAATCCTTAAGGTATTTCTCACCTGTGTTTCAGTAGCAAATATAATTCCTTCTACCTAGCATACCTTACAAAACACTTACCCTTTCTTTAAGCCTCAATGTAAGTGTAGGAAGCACTAAGCACCAATGTTCCCTTGGCACATTTTACACTTTTCAGTCCCCACTGGGAATTACTGATGTAAATGTTCCATTTCTAGACTTGCTTACAATGTTTAATCCAACTCGAATTTCCCTGTCCTTGTCATAAATATTGTATAGCTCATCTCCTTGGAAATATTATTTATTGTATAACATTTCAGAACATTCTGTATATACTAAGTGTGGCCAATAGTTTCAATCTTAAAAAGGGCTGAGTCCTTAATATGTGAATATTCTACTAGAATTACACAGGCAACTGTTTCCACTGGCTCTTAAAAACAATTATTCTGACAGGTAAGGTGGAATCTCAGTATAGCTTGATTTGCTTTTCCACTGATGGAACCTCAATGGAAAAAAGTTATGTTTTTTAGTATTTATTAATCATTTGTACTTTTTTCTTTGAAAAGTGCCAGTTCAGGACTATTGTCCATTTATTAATTGGATATGATTTTTTGTTAATTTAGTTCTTTACAAATTCTAAATATTAACCTTTTCTATACAAATTCTAAATATTAATCTTTTCTAAGATGAATACTTTGCAAAAATGTTCTCCTATTCTGTAGGCTATCCCTTCACACTATTATTTCTTTTGCTGTGCAGAAGCTAGATGTGGTAGATAAAGGAACTCTTATCCACTGCTATGGAAATGTAACTAGTACAGCTATTCTGAATATCAGTACAGAAGTTCCTCAAAAAAATAAAAACAGAACTTCTACATGATCCAGCCCTATCACTTCTGGGTATATACCCCAAAGAAGCAAAGTCAGCATCTGCAGAAATGCCTATATAAACATGTGTACCTAGCACTGTACACAGGAGCCAAACTACAGAACTAGTTTAGGTCCATCAGTGGATGGATAAAGAATGCAGTGTTACTTAGCCATAAAAAATAATTAAATCGTTGTTTGCTGGAAAATGGATAGAATTGAAGATCAGATAAATTAAAGATCAAAATGTTAGTGAGTCCCACAAAGACAAATAGCACCTATCTGCATTCATTTTTTGAAACTAGGGGGAAAAGCCCCAAACAAAACCAAGGCAATGAAAAGTAAAAAAGGGGACTGCTAGGAAACGGGAAAAAGGAATAGAAGGGAGGAACAAGGGAGAAAAAGAAAGAATAAAAGAGCCAGGAAAGATCAAAGTATGTCATACACATATATGGAAATATTACAATGAAATTCCTTACTGTTTAAATATCAACTAATATTAGCTAAGAAAATGTGTGGCCATAAGCCTAACTAATGTTCAACAAAAACATAGAGATAAAGGCCATGTACAATACTACTATCTACAGATAAATATTTGGTCTTATGTAAAAACATCTTAATACAAATGTACATTTCAAATAAGCCTATAATTATGCTACATATAGTTTAGAAGCTAGTTTTGTTCATCTTATATTGTTATAATATTAAGCTATTAACTGATCTTTGAAAATAGCCTTTAAAGGTCATACAATATTCTATCACAAATGTTTCATAATTTAATCATTCTCCTACTATGGATTACTTGGGTTGCTTAGATTTTAATATTCTAACCAATGATGCAGTAGAACAGCAAATACTTAAATCACTATTATCTTTCTGATGACTTCAAAATAAATTCTTAAAATATAAACTGCTACAGCAGTAAGGATTATGGAGTATTAGAAGACACACATATATATACACCAAGAAATTCAGATTGTTTATATTAACTTTTTGATACTATTATTTATGACCTCCTCACTTTGAACTCAATGCACAAAAGATATGGCTATTGTTTTAAGGCTCAGAATTCATAAGAACAGTTTGTTTTTCAGAAAATTTTAAAACACAAGAGCAAGAATTAAATTTTACTAGCAACCATCACTTAACATCGTGTGGACAGACAGATACCAATGTCTTAAGAGTTATATAAAACTACAATAATTAACTTACAGATATCCATTAAATTCTTCTGAAGGTTTTCTCCAAACTGTTACATCTTTCTAGAAAAATTAAAACATTGTATGGTCATTAATTACAAAGGCAGAACCTTGGATACAAGACAGACAATTATATAAGCTTAGAGTACTTTCTTAAAACAATATAAAAGCAATCTCTTCATTGAAAAAATCTATACTCGAATTTCTCTTTTTCTGTTTTTCTTTTGGGCCTATACCAGGGCTTGAATTCAGGGTTTTGTACGCCTGCTCAGCCTTTCCCTGCACTACTTTCATTAGTGGGCCAGGATTATTACCAATAAGTCTCTTTCTTTGTAAGATAACCACTAACTCTACTTACACAACAATCTCCTTTGCACAGTCATTTATACCATTCTGAAAATCATCAACCCATTCATTGGATATACCTCAAATAATCAGGTAATAAGTAATTGAACTAATTTACCGCTTTCTTTGCAATTCGCCACTGATCATCTTCAATGCTATGGTACTGGATGAGAGTGTTTTTCAATTTAGTTGAAAAAGCAGCTACATCAGACAGGCTTTCCATTTTCTTCTTTCTGTTACAGAGATCAGGATTAGCACCAGCAAATACTGCTACAGATCTAAATTTGGTGTCACATTAAATTTCCCTGGGGGAGCTTTAAAAATACCTACACTGGATCCCACTTCAAAGGAACTAATCAGAACATGTCAGAGAAGCACCAGGGCAGAGGCTCTTTTCTGAAAGCTCCTGAGGTAATCAACTCGTAGCCATGGAAAATAATTTCTCTTTCTGACAATTATTATAAATCCTTCAGAAAAAATAATAAAGAGACTTCGCTCTACCAAGTTCCAAAGTCCCAGACCCAGAAGCTCATTTAGAACTTCAGTCCTAGGTGACATTTCAAGTTGCCTCAGACTCCTTCATCTTCACAATTTATTGTGAGCCTAGGTTCTCAAATCAAAAGGCTTGTAATCATTCTTAATAGTAACAAAGAGATTCCAATTTATACCACCATACCCATTGCCCACAGTCATCTTTTAGTTCCACAATTTTTTTCCTGTCTGTCTATCACATAGGCTAGGCTTGACACACCGACTTTGGGTCTGTACTTTCTATTTCTCAGCCTGGACTTCTATATTCCCAATCTTAGCATAACTAATAACTTGCAATGCCAAGTTCAGTTTAAAACTCCTGTCCTTAATATAGCCATCTGCAACTCACTATTATGTCCTTTTATCTTCCATAGTTATTATCTTGTTTCCTTACTGGTATATAAATCTACTCTTTGACCATCTCACACCTCACAAACAGAACAGAGCAGGGATATTTACCACTAGAGAGTTCTTGTCTAGCATTTTATTCTGGCACACAGTAGGACCTTAGTAACAATGTGGAAATGGTTTTGTTCCAAAGGGAGAATTATTTGGTCTTCCTTAGGTATCAGGGCACAGATTTCTTAACATAATTTCTAATTTCTCAGTGTAAGTTTACACTCAAGTAAAAGGATAAAGGGGGAAACCTGCTCATTACATGGCTAATAGGTTACTAAGAAGATAAAACGATCTAAATGATATCTCAAACCTCAAACCACTATGGGAATAAGACTACAATTGTCAACAGTAGATACAGCCATCAGATTCACCTTTGTTATATGTTACCATACTGGTTTTAAGATGTCAGAGTTCAGGGCCCACTGCTAATATCAGATTCAGTCTGGCCTGGGATAGGCACAGGAAATGTTAAGTCTTTTTAAAAAAAATGTCACTGATCATTCTGTCATCAGCTGGGGTTGAGAACTACTGATCGAAAAACTAAAGTGAGACTGTACTCAATATTTAAATAGCATCGGCAAAGCATACAAACTATTAAGCTGATAAATAGTAGAATTATATAGAAATATGGGGAACTACACACGGAAAAGTCTATGAATAGAATTAGGATTCACGCAAGTAATGCAAAATGTCTAATAGATGGAAAGAGGATGAGCTCATTCACAATTGCACTAGTCAGGAAAATACGCTCTTTCCACTCAAGAGTCTGCCAGCTTGACAATCTGTGCAAAGACCTTGTTCAAGGGTATGCCATAAACAAGTACGGATTCTTGGACAGCGTTGTGTCAAAGAAATTTATCTATTACTGGGATCAGTATGATTAAACAACATTCTCTAACCTCAAAGGTCTCCCTCCAGCTTTCTGTGGTTGGCAGATAAGAACATTTATTGAAACTCTGACAGAAATCAAGATGAAATGGAAAGATACTATTATCATAAGCAAGCATTATCTTTTTCAAATACAGCATATAAAAAATAATAAAAGCAACCTAAAAAGGAGAATCAGAAGTATTTTTAAGGAGTTTGTCTTGGTAAGCATTCATAACTACTAATCAATAGGAACTTAATACATCCTTAATATGGCTTGGGGGCCCTTTTGTATGTGGTTTAATTCACTACTTGATTTCTATTCTTTTCTGGACTCTCCTGAGGACTGGGTTACCACTCTACCTGCAATGTGTTCTCAAAACCCCATACTATAATTATGCATTTGCTTTATTCACACACTGAACTATAAAATTTGTAGGGGAAGAACAGACAGGGCCACAAGTACAAAGTTCAAAGTAGTCCTTACCTCTAACATTCAGGAGAAATCTAGTCAGTCAAAAAGAGAAAAGTGTGTACAGAACTTCAATTCTCACTTATGGAAGACCTCAAGATACTAAGATGTGCCCATTTCTAATACTCATTCCCATCATCAGGCTTTGGAATAACCCAAATCTCCCATTACCATAATATACACAGGAATTTCTCAAGGGGTTATATTACTAAGTCTTTACCAAATACAGTACATACATCTAGTAGCTAGTAAAATAACAGAAATGGATAGAATCTGCTTTTTGTTCTCAAAGCTGATTGTCCTTTAAATAAACCTAAAGAACAATAATAATAAGGAAACTAAAGTGTTAAAAGATTCTAAAATTACTTTAAGGATGGTGGGAAATAGGAAGAGAGCAAGTCCACAACTGGAAAGCTCTCTTTTAACACATTAAGTATTTAACCAGGCACCATCAAAATTAAGTGGAATCATAGTTACTTTCTTCTTCCTCTTTTTTTTGTCAGTCATGGGGCCTGAACTCTGGGCTTGGGCGCTGTCCTTCAGCAATTTAGCTCAAGGTGAGCAATCTACCACTTGAGCCATACCACCACTTCCGGTTTTCTGGTGGGTTACTGGAGGTAAGAGCCTCACAGACTTTCCTGCATGGGGTGGCTTTTAACTGCAATCCTCAGATCTCAGTATCCTGAGTAGCTAGGATTACAGGCGAGAGCCACCAGCGCCTGGCTCATAGTTACTTTCTAAATGGCTGTGTGTGAACAGTCACAGCTTAGAATCTCTTAAAATATAGTCAAGAACAAGTTAGAAATAAAGGAACAGTATTGGTGTTATTAAGGTTTTGACAAATTTATTTATCCCTCCTGCAATCTGTGGGGGAATGTTTTTAAAAAGAAAATTCTAAATTCCCTCTTACCAACTCAGTATTTTATTCCCTTTGCTGATCTTCTGTCAGAGCACTGGTACCACTGATAGAGTTCAGTGGGTCTAAGAGAGTGTAACATCTTGTCAGCGCTACAGCCAAGTGCTGACTATGGCCTGACTCCACATTTCCTTCTGAAACAACCTTTACATTTGTGTTTCCCATGCCTATGTTTCTGAGGAATACTGAGGCACACGGTGATAGAGGCTGCCATTAAAGTGGGCAGTTGTCTTGAAACAACATATGAGCAAGTCTTCACTAACAAAACTCCAATTACTCTCAAATATATGCCACAGTGAAATGGCAACAGGTTCTGTGTGTGTGTGTGTGTGTGGGTGTGTGTGTATGTGTGTGTGAGTGTGTACTGGGGCTTGAACTCAGGGTCTAGGTGTTGCCCCTTAGTTTTTTCTCTCAAAGCCAGAGCTCTACCACTTGAACCTCATCTCCACTTCTGGCTTTTTGGCTGATTCATTGGACATAAAGAGTCTCACAGACTTTCCTACCCAAAGCTGACATCAAACTTCAATTTTCATATCTCAGCCTCCTGAGTAGCTAGGATTATAGGCATGAGCCACCAGCACCCAGCTTCTTAAATTAATTAATTTATTTTTAAGTGGTATTGACTCAGAGCGTCACCCTTGGTTAGACTGCTTGTCAAACTGGTGCGCTATCACTTGAGCCATATCTCCACTTTTGCCTTTTCAATTAGTTGGAGATAAGAGTCTCATAGACTTTTCTGTCTGAGCTGGATTGGAACCTCCATCACCAGATCTCAGTCTCCTGAGTAGCTAGGATTACAGGCATGAGCCACCTGAACTTGTCTGTAGACTCGCTTTTAAATATAGACTACAATTAAACATTGTCACATCTAACATAAAGTAGTTTAAGAATATACTAATTACAGCTCAGATATCAGAACTTTCAAACTTTACTACTAAATAAGAGATTTTGTACACACAAATATGTTCAATTTAACAGGGTACAGACTTTCCCAACATGATGTGCAAACTAAGGCCTTACAAATTATCTTTTAGAAATAGGTAAAAATTTTAGCATATGCTTTATTTCCCTTCCGGAGCTGGTAATTCCACTTTTCCAACTCAGTCAAAAACAGTAGTTTCAAGTTGGGCACCGGTGGCTCATGCCTGTAATCCTAGCTACTCAGGAGGCTGAGATCTGAGGATCACGGTTCAAAGCCAGCCTGAGCAGGAAAGTCCGTGAGACTCTTATCTCCGATAAACCACTAAGAAAACTGGAAGTGGTGCTATGGCTCAAGAGGTAGAGGACTAGCCTTGAGCTGAAGAGCTGAGGGACAGCATCCAGGCCCAGAGTTCAAGCCCCAGGACCAACAACAAAAGAAGAGCAGTTTCTCATCTTTGGAACTGGCCCTTTTAGGAGCTCACTCCGAATGAAACACAAAACACCAGCTTTTGCTGAGAGTATAAGGATCCTCTGATACAAATAACATGCATATTCTATCAACTTTTAATGTTTATAGTCCATATTATGTTGTCTTCCTAATAGTCTAATCATTTGGAAATAGCAAATGAACACTCAGAGCTCTGCTAGTGAGCTACTGGAGACTACACAATTTCACCAGCTATTTTTATCAGGTTGCAACTCATTTAGATAAAGGCATTGTGGAAAAGAAGGAAAAAAGTAGGTTGACAGGGTCTCAAATAAGATGAACAAGGAAGGGAAGTTTACAGGAAAAAAAATCAATGCAACAGCGATATACACAAGACAATATGTCGGAAATGATCTGTAGGGGGTTGGAGGGAGGAAAAGTAGGAGAAAATGAAAGAAGGGGTAACAAGTTTGACAAGTAATGTACTTACTACCTTACCTATGTAACTGTAACCTCTCTGACAATAAAAAAAAAAAAAATCAGAGAAAAAAGATTAAAAAAAAGAATGAAAAAATAGTTGTGGCAAAATAAAAAAAAAATTAGTAATTGACATGTGTTGACCACCTACTATGTGGATGGTCTTTCTGATCACTACACACGGTGCTATTTACTTTAATCCCGGTCATTTATCTTTATTTCACACGGAAAGAGAAAATAGGAACAGAGAGGTTACGTGACTTCTTCAAGATCTCAAAGCCTAAGATTCCACCCAGAGCTTCTGACTTTAGAGTCTAAAGAAAGGTCCATCTTGGGAGGGAGGGGAAATAACAAAAAAGAATCTTGGAAGCTGATCAGAGATTTTCGTATGGAAAACAAAACAACAACAAAAGGAGAAAAAAAAACAACGTGACCCCACCACGTTAAAGCACGTCTGGATCCTGAACCCCAAAACGCTCAGGTAATCCTTCTTCGAGTGTAAAGCAGGGGGGGGGGGAGCAGTTACAGAGATCCATCGCCGAGTTCCACGCGGGGATGCGCAGAGGCCCGGGGCGCGGCCTGCCCCCCGCGGAGGCCCCGCGCGCCCCGCGCGCCCCGCACACCTGTCAAAACGGGGCCCCGGGAGGCCCCCCCGCCCCGCTCCATCCATGAATCTAAGGACCAGGAAAGTCCATGTCCTTCACCCGACTTCACTCCATCTTCACCACAGTCCGGACTGCAGGACTGCCACCGCCCCGGCGAGAAAACGCAGGCCTCACCCGCCAGACGTGCTCGCGCACTCCGGTGGGGTCTACCCTGCTGGGACGCCGGGTCCGCCATTGCCCGCGTCCACCACGCGCCCCTCACCGCGCCGCCACAAGCAGCTTCCGGAAGACGCACCGCGGGCGGGCTGCCCCGGTCCGGACGCGCGCCCCGGGGATGCCGCACTCACGCCGTGACACCGTACCGCGTACCCCCACACCGATACCTGGAGTTCTGCAGGCAGCTCACGTGCGCCTCACAAACGCCACCCCACCTTCTACAACCCCACGTACTCACAGTCTCCCTAGGCTTCCCAGTCCGCCGAGGAGGGGCTGGCGGCAGCCAATGGGCGTAAAGCCTCTAAGGGTTTCAGCCAATTGGAAGGCAGTTAGCTTCCTCAGTTCAAGGCCGGACGCACGCCAACACACACACACGCCACGCCCCCTCGCCTGGACCCAGGTGCCGGGAAGAACTGAAGGGAAAGGTTGTCCTGAAGCAACGTGTCTTTGCTCGGATTGGATGGCACGGCAGCGTAGGGAGAGCTGATTGGTCGCTGAGGAATGGAATGATTCCGTGTGGGCGTGGGCTGGCGCGAGCCGAGCCCGAGTTCTGAGATGTTTGAGGTTGCTTGTAGCCTTGGATCTGGCTGAGCAAGTTGGATTATAAAAGAATTGTGCAAGGACATTTTCGCCTATGGGGAGAATTAACAAAGGTGGCATGAGAAACAACTGGGAAGAACAAGGCACGACCGGATTCCATTCCCGGGTAGAGATCTCACTGCTCCTCCAGATCAAAAGTCGACTTTTGAGGGGCCCTTCTGCCCCGGGCCTTGGCTGACCTCATGGTGACAAAGACCGTTTAATGTGGCAGCAATTAGTCACGGTTACTGTGGGACCTGACTTGTAGGCAGATGTTTTTAGTGTCTTCAGATAGAAGGTCCAAAGGAACTTTGAAAGCAGAGAGGAGGTCATACAGGTGTATTTAGCAACCTCGGTGTCTCAGCAACTGGAGGATAATTTCTTCCCGTGAGCCAGGAAGGCACCCATCTTTATGGGCTTAGTAGCAAATCTAAATACTAAAGACCAGGTTGTTGGCAAATTATATTTACTAAGATAATGTAGCTTGAGAAGCAAGAACAGGGTCTAGGAAGGTGGTTCAGTGGTAGAGTGCTTGCCTTGCATGCATGAGGCCCTGGGTTGATTCCTCAGCACCACATAAGCAGAAAAGCCATAAGTGGCGCTGTGGCTCAAGTGGTAGAGCCCTAGCCTTGAGCTGAAGAGCTGAGGGACAGTGCCCAGGCCCAGAGTTCAGGCCCCACCACGACCAAAAAAAGAGAGAGAGAGAAGCAAGAACTATTCATCATTAAAATAGTACTCTATTAATTTTTAAATTAACCTCACTAAAAGAATCACCACACCACGTGCTAGATATTATTGGCCATTAAAAATATCTAACTTCATTATTTACATGTGAAAGGAATAATAATTTGTTTTATGAATCCCATGTGAACGGCCATCGGAAATTTTCTTTATGTGTTATAAAACTCTATTCACTTGGTAATTATTACCTTGTCATTGTTGTTCTTTTCTGAATGGATAGATGTGTAATTTGAGTTGATTGAGGAAAAGTGCTTTGCATTAAATGTTATGTGATTATCTCATTGAATCCTCTTAACCCCTCTAAGGTAGGTGTGTTTCACTGACAAAAAGTATCAGATATAGATCTTTAGGCGATTTAGTTAATTACAGAGCGATTCAAGTGCAATTTGACCAAGTCTGCTGGATGCTCAAATCAAGATCACACACACACACACACACACACACATACACACACACACACACACACACACACACACACACTTCTTCCTTCTCTTTGAAGGCAGTCATTACATCTCACCTAGTGCCCCAAGGGATTTCTTGTTTTCTCTCTGGTCTCTGCCTAGCTTTAGTTTCTTTTCCTTTTGTTCCTCATCTCTTGCTCAGTTTTTGGTCTGGTTTAGTTTAGTTTAGTTTGTTGCCATTATTATTTGTTGAATGAAGTTAAGCCATTGAAATGCATTCTGTGTCTTCAAAAATGGAATGCTGGTATTGGAAAGGCGACTCATTGATAGAGTGTTTGCCTTGAATGCATAAGGCCCTGGGTTCGATTCCTCAGCACCACATAAGCAGAAAAAGCTGGAAGTGAGGCTATGGCTCAAGTGGTAGAGTGCTAGCCTTGAGCTGAAGAGCTGAGGGACAGTGTCCAGGCCCAGAATTCAGGCCCCACAACCAACATTAAAAAAAAAAAAAAAAGTGGAATGCTAACTACTAAAAACCTCAAGTTTACAAAAAAAAAAAAATACATAGATAGATAGATATTACCTAGTACTAGTGTTTAGGTGTTAATGATTGTCCAAATACAGTGCTAAACATCTTGTATGAGTTTTAACTCATTTAATCCAGATGCAGTAATAGGCATGCATTATTTCTGCTTTCACTGTGCATACTAAAGACCTACAGTTTGCAGGGCAACAGACAGCTATTCCTCCCAAATACTTTGAAATCGGGGACATGAGGTCTCAAGTACAAAAGTATGAAAGTTCAAGTATAAAAAAGACTAGCATATAATAAATTTGAACAGCTATATTGATTGGAATATTTTGTACAAGTTTGCTATGCAAAGTGTGGGCCACAGAGCAGCACTACTGCCATCGACTGGCTACTTGTTAGAAATGTAGAATGGCGGTCTCTAAATTATGCACCTTACACCTTGAACAGAAGGGATACAGAATACAAGGGCTTGACTTAAGCCAAGCCTAAAAAAAAAAAGAAATGAAAACTTACAAGCCACTAACAATTAAGATTGTGTAAATTTACAAGCTGTACAATACGTAAGCTATTCTTCAACTGGGAAGCAAAACAAGCCAGAGCCTGTAGTGCACACCTGCAATTCTAGCTATTTATAATGCTGAGATCTCAGAATCGAGGTTTGGAGCCAGCCCAGGCAAGTGAAACTTTGGACTCTTAATCTCCAATTATCAGCAAAAAATTGGAAAGTGGAGGCATGATTCAAGTGGTAGAACACCACCAGTGGTGAGTGACAAAGTGAGAATGTAAGACCTCCTTGTGTTAAAAATATAGAAGCAGAACAATTTTTTAAGTCAACCAAGAAATTAGAAATGAACATCAAGGAATTAAATATAGAAATATCAAAAACTGGGAAGAATTCAAAACAGCTTATAAAATACAGCACATTAAGCCCAAAAAGATAAGCTTACAGTCATCAGTGGCTACAATGAAAAATAGAAATATGTCACCACAGTTTTTTATGAAGAAATAGAAAACCTCAACAGGCCAATGATCAGTTACAAGACTGAAGCAAACAAAAACCTCAAACCTGGATGATTTCACTGCTTACCTGAACATTATAAGAAGAACTAATACTAATTTTCCTTGTTATTTGCATATTTGTTAAAAAATGCAATGTTACATGATAAATTATACAGGTCTCACACACAGTGAGACCAAAGATGCTTAGGAGAGGAACACAAAGACACAATGCTTATGTTCCTCTTATCATACGAACTAATATTTATCAAAAGAAACTCAAAGAAATGGAAACAATAGGTTTTCTTTTTCTTTTGTGCTATTTTTGTTTTCTTTGCTTTTTTGTCTTGTTTGTTCATTTATATGTCTTTGGGAGGGAAAGTGGAGCACAGAATGGAGGGACAAAGGATGCACAAATACAGCAGTGGTATTCACTAGACACTGTGTTGAGAATGAACTATACAATTTGTGGGTGGGGACAGGAGGAAAAAGCTGGGAGAGAACAAGGGAAGGGGTGACATTTTCTAAAAAGGAATATACTGATTACCTGACGTACCTATATAACCCCTCTGTACATCACCTCATACCAACAATAAAAACACTTTAATGCAGTATTGCCTTTATACCAAAACTAGATGAGAAGACCACAGCACAAAACTACAGGCCCATATTCTTCATAAATGTAGGTGTAAAATACTCACAAATACCTAAAAGATTATTTCTTGTGACCACATGATATTTAAGCCTAGATATAAAGAGGGTTTATCATACACATGTCAATAGACATGATGCACTTGCTCAGCAGAATGAAAGACCACATATATAAACATATATATATATATATATATATATATTTGATCTTCTCAATAGATGCAGAAAAAGCACCTGAAAAAATTCAACATTCTTTCATGATAAAACAGCGGTGCTGGTGACTCACACCTGTAATCCTAGCTACTCAGGAAGTTGAGATCTGAGGATTATGGTTCAAACCCAGCCCAGAGAAGAAAGTCCATAAGACTCTTTATCTCCTATTAGCCACCAAAAAGCCAGAAATTGAAGTGTGGCTCAAGAAGTAGAGCCTTGAGCAAAAATGTTCAGGGACAGTGTCCAGGCCCTGAGTTTAATCCTCAGTACCTGCACCAAAACAAAAAAGCTGAACAATTTAAGTATAGGCCATGGTCGTGGCTTGCAAGAATAATATGAAAATATATGTATTATCTAAAGCAATTCCCAGACTTGACACAATCCCTACCAAAATAGCAGTCACATTCTTCACAGAACTATCAAAACACAAAAGCAGTTTCTTGATTTATATGACACTGCAAAAGTCTGAATAGACAAAACTATCTTGAGAGAGAAAAAAAGTAAAAGGTATTACACTTCCTGATCTCAAAATATACTTCAAAATTGTGCTGATTAAAATAATTTGGTGTAGCATGGTTAAGTACAGACATAGAGATAAAAGAACTAAATAAAGAGCCTAAAAATTAACCCAAGAATTATATCAATTGATTTTGTGTGTGGGGGTTGGGGGGGGGCTGTGGGGCTTGAACTCTGGGCCTGGGCGCTGTCCCTCAGCTCTTCAGCTCAAGGCGAGCACTCTACCATTTGAGCCACAGCACCACTAATTGATTTTTAAGTTGCTAAAAATGTGGATTGGAGAAAAGAGCATTTTCAGTAAATATGGTTAAGAAAACTGAATATCCAAATTCAGAAAAAATTAACATGTTAATGGATTAAAGACTTAACTATAAAACCTTGCTTCAGAACACTGGAAAAAGACAAGTGTGTTTAGTTTCCTTTGTTTTGATTTTGGGTTTTACGTTTTTTTTGTTGTTTGGTTGGTTGGTTGGTGACATCCCAAAAACACAGGAAAAAGAGCAAAAATAGATAGAGGGAAAAACATCATACTCAAAGGGTCTTCACAGTAAAGGAAGGAATCAACAGAGTGCCAGGCACTTGTAATCTTAACTATTCAGGAGGCTGAGATATGAGGAT